TCATTACACCCCACTTCCATCATCACATCTGTCTGATCACAAAGCTCCACTACGTCAGTCCTCAAACTATATAGCCACAAACCACGGCAATTCTTTGCCTATTGTTGTATCGACTTACAACTACGGACCCATCGCGAATATGTCTCAGCAATCAGACATCAATCTGTACACCACCCAGACGCCTAATGGCATCAAGGTCTCCATCACTTTGGAGGAACTAGGGTACGTATCTCCCCAACTATGTAAGACATCTTCTGCGACCCCCGGGATGTTCCTTGAAGAAAGCTAGCAGTATATGTTTATATTTCCCTCTCTTTCGCTGTCAAGGCTCTTACTTGTCATCGCATGAATGCGAAAGAACTTGAGGACAACCGCTATGTTCCCGAGCAACTTGAAGCAAACAAAACAACAGCTGAGAGCTTTGTTCGCCGTACATGAAGTACTTTGGGATATGGACAGCAGCCTACGTGCATCGAAAACTACTTGTTACGATGATTCACTTTCGTGTGAGACCTTCGAATGCCTCTGGGTATCGCCCTTGAGTGTCCATGGTCGATGATACAGCACACTACCGGGTTGCTACATCTTTTTACTCATACTCTACAGTGTTTATGGAAAGAGGATAATACACATTTACGATGAACTCAGCTTATTGATATCTCCAGCCTCCCATACAAAGTCCACAAGATCGACATCTCCAAGAACACACAAAAGGAAGAATGGGTCAGCCACATTTTCCCTCTTCATATCAATACCAAGCTAACGGCAGATAGTTCCTGAAGATGAACCCCAATGGGCGCATCCCCACACTGACCGATACCTTCACCGACGGCGAGACTATCAACCTCTTCGAGTCTGGAAGCATCATGGAGTACCTTGTTGATCGCTACGACTCAGATCACAAGATCAGCTTTCCAAAGGGAACACGAGACTGGTATGCAATGAAAAATTGGCTTTACTTCCAGAACGCCGGCGTTGGTCCGATGCAGGGTCAAGCTAGTAAGTGTGACTTTTTCTATGCTTTCTTTTATTCCATCTTTGCTTTTTCAAGGCAGTCCCGAGATCATGTGGACTTGTCACCCGTTGCAACAACGGTTCGTTGCCGCTCTTGAGATGGTGTCGTCATTCAATACCGTACTTGGAGCGGCAATGAGGTGTTGTTATGTATAGTAAGACGGGTGCAGCATGGCTTGATCGCCGAGACGATCGCCTTGGCTGTGGTACTCAGGTTCAGTCGACACAGATGACCATAACGAATCAGTCCTTCCAGCGTAAGCGAGGAAAGCCTCTCGAGACGGCATTTCCGCTTGAGCGGCTGTGCTGTAGATCTCACTTCCGATGTGGGGGTCAGTCCCGATGTGGAGGTAATCCTGAAAGCCATTGGCATCAGGTTGCTTCACAGTACTGCAATAGTGCCGAGATTCACCATGTCAGCTGGGATACCAGGTTAACGTGGATTGCAGACCATTTCACACGATATGCCCCTGAGCACATTGAGTACGGTGTCAACCGATACCAGAACGAGACCCGTCGTCTGTACTCTGTGCTTGATAAGCATCTCGCTTCAGACAACAGGCCATATCTATGTGGCGAGAAATGTACAATCGCTGGTAAGTTCTTCCTTCAAATGTGCTCACCTGTGGGATCGACGTCGATATCCGCAGACGATGGCACCATCTATGGGAAGTGTTTGTGATTTATCCCAAACATCGTCGAAAACGAGAACTCCTGTCTGGCATACATAGGCAGCTGAATATTCAAGCATACCCATGACGATATGTGCTGATACATCCTAGACATCTCGCATTATGGCTGGGTGGCGTCTGCAGGTTGGGCTGGGGTTGATATTGACGAATTCCCTTCTCTCAAAGCCTGGGAAGAGCGCATGACATCCCGACCCGGTGTTGAAAAGGGTCGTCATGTACCGGACCCTCATACGATCAAAGAGCTCCTCGCGGACAAGAACAAGATGGAGGAGTACGCTGCCAAGAGTCGCAAATGGATCCAGGGCGGCATGAAGCAGGATGCTGAGAAGCAAAAGTAAGTTATTTTTGCTTGTCCCAAATGACGACAGAAGACGTCCCGTCATAGTGAAGATATTTGGAGATGAAGGTGCTTCATGTGAAAGCTACCGGGACGTGAGGGATACGCAGGCAACTTTGAATATCTTACTCTGTAGCCAATCGCATCAGCGGATTCTGATTGCTTGACCAATCGGATCAAGCCAGATTAGAGTCTGTCTAGTAGCGCACCAAGGACCCGAGTCCGAACTTTGTAACAATCCTCTTAGGCGGCGCACACTTTGATGCCAACTAACACCCTCAAGTTCCAGACTATAAACAGCATTGCGCCACCATCGCATCACTGCAGGTACCATCTACGAAAGCCAAACAAGTCAGGGTAGACCTGCATCATTCCCAGTGCTCGTTCGTGACAGTGACCCACTTGGGACTTTTACATCTTGGCATTTTCACGCGTGAGCTCGGGTGAGTTTCAAGACCATTCATCATTTCACTTAGTCACAGAACCACACCATGACTCTAAGCCCGAAAGGTGAAGTCTATGCGACCTGCCAAGAATGTCAGTAGAGTAGGGAATATCCAGGTTTGCAAGCTTGGTTGCGTAATAATCAGTCAGCAGGGGTGCGACTTAGAAATGATGGATGGAAAGTAGCGGGCTCATCACGGTTGACGGGACATTACACTAGTACAAGACTAGCTGCTGTTCGCGAGGTCAGGCCCGTTGATCCCGTATAACACCGCGAACGCTCCGATTGCCGTCAAGTTGCACATTTGTTTGTCTGAAACGTTCGAGAAGGGTGTCCCAAGACTTTGTTGGAGCCCGGGAAACTGCCCGTACGGTGTCGGAGCTGAGGAACGCATGCATGCTCGCGGTGGCAGAGCTGGGTAGCCTAGTGTTGAGCCGGCTGTCCCCAGAGTACGCTACCACCAAGTGCCGATGTAGCTGCACTCGCATACTTGAAAATGGGAAGGACCTAATGGCAACTTGTGTGCTGACGCTCACCGTCAGTCTGGGCTCGACAGACAGATCTAGTGCCTGGTGATTGCTAGAGGGACCAAGCGTTTGTGACAGTGTCTCCCACGCGCATGGGCTGGTGCCGACCGCTCAGGTGGCTGGAAAGATCCGGACGGCGTCGCCTGTTGCCGTGACGGTGGGCATGCGGTGACACCCGCTCGAAACTTGGAAACTCAGCCATGGACTCAGCCATCGAGCGAGGGACCAGAGATTGCCTCAGAAAGAACGCGCGCCTAGGCATGGTTGAATCTTACTCGTCTCAAAGACATCTGAGCTTCCTGCGTGCCGGGAGCATCAGCTCACCCGGCCTATCCGTGAATGGAAGGACATAACCACGGGTACGGAACACGTCGCCTCCCGATGAATTTTCACAGGGGCTCGAAGAAGGATCAGTCGCGTTCTTTGAGCAGGCGCGAGGGCTGCTGACTGGTTTGATGAAGGGCGGACACGCAGTGTTTATCACTTCAGGGGAGCATGTATATCGCCCCGGGTTTGTGCAGAGCACCTGCATCTCACCCATAGTGGTGCCTGCACCTGTATCAGCAGGACGGACTATTTTGAGCCACCAACAGGCGTGGCCCCTTTCATCACTCATTCCTCTATGCAGCATGCGTCAGACTTGAGTCCCGCAACACCATCAGTCCCTTCCCCATTCTGATACTCTCCCCGCATTAATGCTCGATCAGCTGCAGGCTGCATGATCGTAAGCTGCTCTGCGACGGCGGCAACGACGGTTAGGCTCGCTAGAATGAGCCGGTTAAGCCTCAAGGGTCTGAGGAAGCCTGCTGCCCCAGCAGTGAGGTTTCGAGCCGTAGCTGTTATACTACGGCTATTTCGCCTCTGCCATAGCCGACGCGGTAGGCGGCGCCCCCGCAGAGCTGTCACGGATCGATCTCAACGGTGAACATCGCACCTCCTAGAGTATAGTTGAGCGAAGCGGGTCATAAGATTTACAGGGCAGACAAGCATCGCGTTTGCAAATCGGGTGGACCGTCCGTTCAGCCGAAGCTGTCAGTTCCCCAGGTTTGCTGTAGGCCACGTTCCCGGCTTCACTGGTTGGAAAATCTGGGGTACATGACAGAGGCAGGTCCTGCTGCATGCCATAGTACCTAATTAGTGAGTCTGAGTCCCAGCTCATATTGCTCAGGAGTATATAGTCTGGGGACGGTCATAGTGAACTCAACTGCGCTTGATCACGAGTATCCTGGTGTTGTGGCTTTGATCTAGCAGTGAGTACAGTATGCATTGAAAACGTCTCCCGCCCATATTGAACAACCTCTCTGTGTGGCTGGAATAATGTCGTTCCATATTACAGGAAAGGAGCAAGAATTCAGCAAATACGTGCGGGGATCCGGTCTGTGAGTGGTGAATAAGCCAGGGCGAGTGAAGCGTCGCAAGCTGGCAACAAGCCTTGAGGCCTCGAACTGTCGACCTGCATGGGCAGATGCAGTCGCGAAACTGCAATCCGAACCCATGTTTTGTGGGGAAGCATGGCTTTCAATAGTTTATGATCCGGACAATTGCATTCATGAGTACTCTGTGAGTGGGATCCTGCATCAGCTTGACTCTTACAGAGATGGGAGGGCCAAAGCTGTATGGTCACACATCTCGGGGCTTGACGCAAAGAGGATGAGCTTTGGCGCCTGGCTGCAGGCGAGAGGACCCAGAAGGCACAGATTGGTCATCTTGTCGAAGCCAGAGTGAAGGGGTCCCTCCGTTATGCATGTTCATTGTGCGGGCCCTCGCACTGGAACTTGCAGATGTATTGCGGGCCCCCCCCCTTCGTGGTCGCGACGTGCAGCCTCTCAGAATGAAGCAATCTTACCGTCTACCTGTAGGGCCGGAGAAGTCAACACTTCAGTGGTGGTGCAGCATCTAGTATTCTGCGAGGCTGCAAGCTAGTCCAACGGGCCGGCAGGCGCTGCCCTCGTCTTGGTGTGGATCAAACTCTCAGTATGTGACGACTAAATTGGACAGAATTATGAAGATCATTGGCACGGAGCCATGTAGCAGTGTCATCCCTTTCCATCGGCCAACGGGTTTCAGCTGAGGAGAGTTTTGTTCAACGGATGGCGCCCACGTGGGTCTGTTGACCCAACTGGAAGACTCTGACGAACTGGTCAAGACACCCGAGGAGGCTTCCAAGTTTGAGTTTTCGAGAACTTGCCGTGTAGCGTGTACCTGAGATAAGCGCAGGATGCCTGACTATTCTCCGTTCGATGAAGTTATAAGCGGATCCAATGTTAGAATTTTGTTCCAGAGCTATTGCGGCCAGTTCGTTAGTCGTGGGACCGTTCACTTTGTTGGTGTGCTGGCAGAAGGATTATACGGCCAGTTCGCGGTGTTCCGCATATAGACGAAAAACGGTGACGTTGGGCCGACCACATATCGGAGGTGGGTTTGCAGGCACCACAACGTCGCTTAGAGGCCCTAGGATTGCTCGGCTTCTCCTGCATGGCGGGGACAGCGAAGCCACATAACAAAGTTTGGCCAAAATCCACCGACACTTAGCTCACGCTTCAACCAACGTAGCTGTCGCGGTGTGCACTCGAGTACTCGTGTTAGCAGCCCGGCCACGCTCAGTACTAACGACTCCTTTGTGGATCCTGAAATATAAGCTTGTCCGCGGGTCGAGACTCACGCACGCTCCTCCAAGAGAGTGGGACCGGGTGTGGATATCATTGGGCGTAGCGCAAAGGTCGTGCCATGCCTTGAAGAGAAGATCGTTGTCGGTATCAGGTATCGGGTTTCAGATGCCATGGCAGCGTGCATATTTGACGTTCTGACGTCTACTCCTTGACGAGCAAGGGCACGCCAATGATGTCCAGGTACCGTGAAACGGGACGGATGCCGTTTCAGCAGATGAGGGCATTCCAAACCAGCAGCGCTCCCAATGTGGCGCGCCAAATATCGGCGAAGGGGGGCTATAGCGGGCGCGTTAAGATGATACCTCCGACACGCATGTTGCGCAAGAGCTTCGGGGTCTTATTCATGGTCAGGCGCTACAAGCCACAACCTGGAGAAAGTGCCAGGAGGTATTGGTAGTCGGCGCAGGCAAGGATTGGCGGGAAGCTGACGTGCGGTGTGAACTTCGAAGAAGCGGGGCTCTCTGCGGTTCGCTCCTAGCGCCGACGCTGCGCATCGCATCTCCCACCGGCTAATTTGTATTTAGCCATGCTCGAATCATGCGGTAGGATTTTCTGACCCTTGCTACGGTCCCCTGCTACGGTGTTCCTGACCCTTGCCACGTCTTGCCCCAGAGCCTGGTTGCCGCAGCCAATGGGTCGTAGCTTTCATACATCCATGAATGCTCGAATTAAACATTGCGTCTTCTGATATTGCTCTCCAGTTGATCTCGCTTCTCGAAGCCCGCGTGGACGCATGGAATCTTCAAGCCACAGATCGTCACACTGACCCTTGGAATCGTCTTTGCAGCTTAGGACATCTCACAGTCGGGGTGTACCCTCGGCACCCAAAGCTTTGTCGGAGGCCCACATATGCTCCCCAAGTATCGCATGACCCGTGGTCGTCCCCAGATTTCCGGCAACCGACTCCTTCGTCCTCAAGTACTCCCGCGACGTCACTCGCGTGCACAAACTGCCGTTCCCTCCAAAATCGCTGCTCTCGAATTGAGTCGCCACACCGGAACCAAGTAGTACGTCGGCCGTGTTCGGTGGGGGCCGTCTGATGCTGATCTTATGTAGGGACAACGGCGGCCGGTTGAAGTCATAGTCGTCATCCCAACTCACAGACGCAGCCATGGAGACCACAACAGCAGAGACACCCAAGCTTGAACGTCGTGGCTCGGCACCCGTGAAGCGAAGAGTGAGCCGAGCATGCGATCATTGCCATCGAATGAGAACAAGATGTAACGGCCAAGCTCCGTGTTCGCGCTGCATAGAACTCGAGTACGTCTGCCAGTACAACCGCGAAAAGAAACGACGCGGAAAAGTAAGCACCTCCAACAATCAACAACCTTGTTCCTCAACGTGAAGCGTTTGGTATCGCGTGTACATCGCGCCTTTGAAGCGCATCGAATAGCTAACGAGTCGCAGGTTCCAAGGCACATCCAGAAGCAGCGAGAAGAGGCAGCTGCCAGTGGTAGTCCGCAAACCCCCAATGGAATTTCGAGTTATTACGAGAGGCCCGGCGTAATGGCAGAGATGGACGAAGATGTTTGGTCGCAGTCTGAAGCAACACCCGTTGTACAGCATTTCCCAGCCGGCAAAGGTGGTCTACCTGCAGGTGACTGGCAAGCTCTGAACCCTGGCACGACATTCGATCCACCTGTCAACCACATGATGATCGACCCATTGCTTCTTGGATCTGGTGCTGCGTACCCGGCAATGCACGCCGAGATGCCTCGCGAAGAGCTGATGTACGCCATGAATGGTACGTACGATGGCCGAGCCCGGAGTGCTTCACAAAACTCCCAGTCCGTGTACATGTCTCGTTTGTCTCGTATGTTACCAGAAATCCTCCCAGCGTATTTGCGATACGTGGTAGATACGCAGCGTCGCTGACAGTCATAGGCATGCACCTTATTCCTGGCTCTAATGGTACACCTGTTTCGATCCCTCCCGAGTACGCCAATATGAACTACCCAATGCAATACCAAGCAACTGGGAGGCAATCGTCTCCTCACAGCTATGGTTCTGTGGACACCGGGTCGCCGCAGTCTGGAGTGAGCGCGAATTCTTCCCAGAACGGCGCTGCCATTGCCGCTTGCAGATACCCTGTTTTGGGGCCACTGCTACCCCACCTAGGACCGATACTCAATGTCACCACTGCATGCGATCTCCTCGAATTCTATTTTCAAAGTTCCTCGTCGGTGTTCATGGAACCGGTTTCACCGTACATTCTGGGATCCGTTTTCAGAAAGCGAAGCTTCCTCCGACAACACAAGCCCAGAAAATGCAGCCCCGCTCTGCTCTCAAGCATGCTTTGGGTCGCTGCTCAGACGAGTGAAGCGAGCTATTTGACATCTTCGCCGTCAGCCAGAGCTATCATCAGCCAGAAGCTGTGGAAGCTCACAGTAGATCTGCTCAAGCCTCTTGTTCACTCTCCATCTTCGCACGGTTTCGCTCCCGGACCTGGACTGACATCTGCCGCACACGACGCCTTCGGAGTTGATCGAGCCATAGGACGATACGATGGAAGACCCGACGGAGCAATGCCACCTACCAGCACCCTGGACGATGTTGCTACATACATCAATCTTGGAGTGGTCACATCTGCGAGCGAATACAAAGCGGCTTCTTTGCGGTGGTGGAACGCGGCATGGTCGCTGGCTCGAGAACTAAAATTAGGCCGGGAGCTGCCACAAGGGCCCGCGAAGGAGCGAGAGACAGCTGCAACAGACAAGGAAATCGAGGCGGGCATCCCAGAAGGCGCCAGCGCGCAAGCACCCGTGGGCACACCATCTGCAGCAATCGTGGAAGAGATGAAGGAGGAAAGGCGTCGATTGTGGTGGCTGCTGTACATGGTTGACCGGCACCTTGGACTCTGCTACAATCGACCGCTGGCCATGCTCGACAACGAATGCGAGGACCTATTCCAGCCGGTTCCCGACACCCTCTGGCAGGCGGGCGAGTTCTACACCGGCCACCCAGGATCGCGGAAACGGGGACTCAATTTTGAGTGTACATCGTACGTATGCACCCTGGCCGAAAGATGCTCTTATAAAGGCTTCTTTTGTGCACCACGACGGATCTGAGCACGAAGCTAATCCTTACAGGCATGACATTTTCGGTTTCTTCCTGCCCTTAATGACTATCCTCGGAGACATTGTAGATCTGAATGCACAGAAGAACCATCCAAGATTCGGTCAGCGGACATCCTGGGAGCTCCACGAAGCAGAAATTACCCGCCAGTTGGAAAGGTACGCGTACAGCATCGAGGACTTCAAGGCACAACACGGTTGCGGCTCGAATGAGGAAGCGCAGGCCAACAGCACCCCCGACCCTGTTCGGAGTGAGTGGATGCATCAGACGAGGAAAGTCGCGGCATATGCCACTCACATCATGCATGTGTTGCACATCCTGTTACACGGCAAATGGGATCCGGTAGCGTTGTTGGAGGACGACAACATGTGGATATGCTCACAGTCGTTCCTTGCGGCAACATCCAACGCGATATCCGCAGCGCATGCAGTCGAGGTCATACTGGACGTTGATCCGGATCTGTCCTTTATGCCCTACTTGTTCGGCATGTACCTCCTGCAAGGAAGTCTTATTCTGCTCCTTCTGGCAGATAAGCTATCGACCGAGACCAACGACGGGGTTATCCGAGCCTGCGAAACTATTGTCCGGGCACACGAGGCGGCCGTTGTAACCCTCAATACGGAGTATCAGGTAAGCTTCATTACTCCGGTCTCTGGATGTGACAGCGCTAACGAGACACAGCGAAACTTCCGCAAAGTGATGATCTCGACATTAGCGCAAATAAAAGGCCACGGCCACGCCAGAGAGATGACGCCTGCGAAACGGCGGGAAGTCCTATCCTTGTATCGCTGGACAAGCTTAGGGAACGGATTGGCCATATAAGTGAGCCGTAAACTGTTCAAAGCATGTTTGTGGGATTTGGCGTCTGGAGCGACTCGGACAAGCCTGCGGGCTGTATACCTGGTTGGAGCGTTGTACAACTATAATCTCTTTTTCGACGCGTGGTTATGAAGACACGTAAACAGGCGCGTGCGATCAGCTGCATGCAGCTGTGAACGGCGTTTTTTGAGCGATTTAGCTGTGCTGCAGTCAGGCCAGCGAAGTGTAGATATTTTCTAAAGTACCAATGTACACTCTACAGCTGTCAAGCTGGTGACGCACGTGTGTGCCGTGTCACATTCACGTGGACAGAATCTTCGGCATCTGCCGAGGCAGAGCTCGACATGCGAAACAAAACGCCGGCTGTGATATTTACCGCGACTACCGCTCGGGCAGAAAATCCTGGAATGGCAAAGGCGGCGAAACGTTGGTGTGCGATCTAGTTTTTGCGTTCGATATTTCGATCGCCATGGCAAGGATGCTGCTTCGCTAGTCGCTAGGGCAGCTAGGTTCCAGACGCGACCGGCTGTTCGGATGGCAGCAAACAGCCGACCGGTGAGGCCGTGAGATGGTCATTGAAGGCAGCCGAAGGCGGCGCGAGGAAGTGTTGCTGTTCTACGACGGTGCAATGGGACTGCAAGGCATGACGACGCAGCAGCTAGGTAGGAAGCTGCAACCCTGGAACCTCCGGGTGCAGTCAGCTATGTTGGATTGTCCCACTCAAAAACGAGCTCCACAATGAGAACAACCAAGTAGGATATCTATTGTAGTACGGTTGTACAGGATATCGGAATCATCGTAAATGCAGACAGACGCTTTTGCCCCCCCAATGTCAACAGGTATGTGCGGAGGAAAAAGCAGCGCGACTGATCATGAACTTAAGGAGACACAACTGAAGGCACTTATAACTTCTTCTCCACCTCCATAACTTCTTTGATGCCCTCTGCAACTGCATCGACCTTCTCTTGAGGAAGCCTCTTGAGTGGCCGGCGGGGGTATCCGCCGTAGCCGTAATATGACTGGAGTGCTGACTTGGTTCCAGGAATAGCTGCTTTTGTGAGAACCCAATCGCCTTTGCTGAGTACCTTCTGAAGTTCAATGGCCTCGTCATATTTGCCTTCCGCCCACAGATTCCAGACCTTGACGCATGTCTTCGGCAGGACGTTCGCACCACCAGCGATGATTCCTGATCCGCCACTAGCAGCAGTCTGAGCGGTGAAGTCAGCCATGCCACCAAAGGCCATGTAGCCACTGCCTTCGCTCTTCATTGTGCAGGCGTTGGTAGCAAGGGCAACACGAGTAAGTTTGCCGGTGTTGCCACATGTGAATTTGGTACCAACGATGTTTGGGTGCTTCCCAAGCTTGATGATGAGGTCGCTATCCATATCGATACCGGCAACGGCTCCTGGGTAGTTGTATAGAATTATTGGGAGTGGTGAGGCATCTGCGACTTTGGTGAAGTACTCGTAAATGGCGTCTTCGTCGATAGCATAGCGATAATAGCTGGGAGGGACAGTAAGGACGTATTCGCCACCCGCCGCCTCTGCTTCTTTGCAGAGCTCGATGGTAAGTTTGATGCCGTGTTCGGAAGCTCCAACAATGACTGGCACATTTTGGTAGCCAGCCTCATCGAGGGCCTCACGAGTTGCTCGCGTGACAGCGGTCTTCTCAGCCCGTGACAGATGGACAGCCTCTCCGTTGGATCCCATGGTGACGAGACCAACAAGACCAGCCTCGGCAAGTCGTACTGCATGCTTCTTGATAGTGGGGATGTCTAGCTCCTCGGTCTCCGGGTCGAAGAACGTCATGGTGGGTGAGTAAATGCCAGGTCGAAGGGAAGTACGCTCTTTGGAGTGGCCATTGGCCCCGTTCCCGTTTGATGCCATCTTCGCAGTGTGTATAATCAAAAAGAGTTGAGACTGGACAGGAACAAGGTGAGTAGTATACGAGTATGGAAGTTTCGGGAGAGAGGAAGGGGCGAACAATAAAGATGATTCAAGCACGGGTTCGGTCAGCTTTAATATAGCAGCGAGATGGAAGTAATCGGCGCAAAGTAAGTCAGAGGAGCTAAGTTCGGCAGAGCTCACTTCCCATCCCACATGGACTGGCGTGTCTCAGTGGCTCTCCTGTTCAAGATCTCGTCAAATGGTCATGTTTGATTCGCCAAGGACCACAACGGCGAGGGCTAGACTGGAGGTTGGGTGCAGGGCTGTGGGCCATCTGGCGAGTTCGGGACACCACTGGGCGAAATGCGGGACATTGTGCGGCCTTTTCTATGGGAGTGACTAAAGTCGGCGGTTGTCTGATGGGATAGAGCTGCACCTGGGGCAGGGTTAGCTGTCGAACATAGTGGCACAGCATCGCTGTGGTGGACGGGGTGGCATTCTTCCACCAATAGTGAGTGGGGACACGCGTGGGGGACGCCAGTGTCCCTCTTTCCTTGGCCTCTGGGGAACCTCGTTACCCCTCGGAACGCAATAAACGCCAACCACGACGCATACTCCAAGAAATTACTCCAAGCCAATTCCGCCATGTCGAGACGAGCCTCGCTGCTTCCTCGACGGCTTGGAGACGCCACGGCCTTCGGAAATAGATGCACACCGCAGCGCTCAGCAAACATAGCCCCCACCAAGACCAAGGTCTCGAATGATGCAACGTCATCCGGCCGCGGCTGCCGGCAGTACGCGTGAGACCTCGTGCCCCTCATCGCGTTGCTGGGTCATATATCTTCCGTCGCTATCGATAAGTCTTCAAAGGCCGACGAAGCTGTGTCGGGTATTGAAGCATCGCATCCCCTTCAATTCCAGCTCTCGTCTCGTCTCATCTTGCTCGAGATCAGGACAGTAGCTGTCAACCCTCTCCATCATCTACACCTCCTCTCAGACCTGCAGGAACACAGTCAACATGGCGCCAGTAGAAGTACTCATGGTACGTTGCCCCTCACTACAGTCTAGTCGCAGCTGTATTGCCCTCTTGCGTCTGCAGCGCATCGCATTCCAAGGCTAATCGCACGCTAGGTCGGTACTGGAGAGTACACGACGGGATTCGTCGGAGGAGGCGCCTCCAAGTCGGACAAGAAGGTCGGTGTCGTAGGACTGACGCTGTTCGACCTCCGAAGACGCGGCAAAGTGGGCAAGCTGTCTATGGTTGGCACATCGGGCGGCAAATTCCCCGCAATCCGTAAGTTGCACAGCATCTGAAATAATTCCCCATGTCCGGCGTGCTTATCTTTGCCAGGCGAGCATCTCCAGAAGAACATTTCCGAGGCATACAACAACTTGGACGTTTCGTTCGAGGAATTCCCGAAAGAAGGCAAAACCGATCCGAATGCGTACAAGGCAGCGATTGACGCGCTTCCAAAGGGCAGTGCCAGTGAGTTGCAACATACACCCGCTCAATTCCCTACTCCTATTGACTTTGCATAGTCACCATCTTCACACCTGATACCACTCACTACCCGATCGCTCTGTACGCCATCGAGCGCGGAATTCACGTCCTCATCACAAAACCCGCGGTGAAGCTCCTGGAACACCACCAGGCGCTTTTGGCAGCTGCCAAGAAACACAATGTCTTCGTTTATATTGAGCACCACAAGCGATATGATCCTGCGTATGCTGATGCGCGTTTCCGGGCGCAGAAGTTGGGCGATTTCAACTACTTCTACTCCTACATGAGCCAGCCGAAGTACTTTCAACCCCTACTGAACCGAAGAAATTGTTGGGTAATTTTACATTTAGGAGCCAACTGGAGACGTTCAAGGCCTGGGCGGGTATCGATTCTGATATCTCCTACTACCTCAATTCTCACCACATTGACATCAACGAGTCCATGATTCCCGATTGGAAGCCAGTACGAGTCATGGCTAGTGCTGCAAAGGGCATTGCGACTGGACTGGGCTGCGATCCTGCTACCGAGGATACCATCACACTGCTCACCAATTGGGTGAAGAAGGATGACCCTAGCAAGGTCGGAACAGGTGTTTACACAGCTGGCTGGGCAGCGCCTCAAAAGGCCGGTGTACACTCGAATCAGTACTTCCACTACATGGCATCTACAGGAGAAATCCGCGTCAACCAGGCCAAGCGAGGTTACGATGTTACCGACGACGAGGGTGGTCTTCTCTGGTACAACCCGTGAGTTCAAACATCCGAAATTCTTTACTTTGCGTACTAATCACCTACAGATTTTACATGAAGTACGCTCCTGATGAGGAGGGCAATTTCGCTGGCCAGATCGGCTACGGATACATCTCGTTTGAGAAGTTCGTTGATGCCGTCAACAAGCTCAACGCAGGCGAGGTTACACTCGAGCAGCTAGATGCGCGGCCACTCCCAACCCTGAAGAACACTATCGCGACGACCGCAATTCTCGAAGCAGGCAGAAGATCACTCGATGAAAATCGGCCGATTGACATCATTGAGGAGAACGGTGTTTGGTCTTTGAAGTAGTCAAGTCGTGCAATTAAAAGCGAACATGGCACTGCTCAGTGGGGCGCGCCTACCATATTTTCGTCGGTGTCCTGCTTTAACAAGCGTTGTATACCTTTAGCCTAAGTTGCACAAGTACTGTTTACTCATCATCCACTGATCCTAGCATGACGTGATCGTCGCCTCCGCTATGGCGCGGTCCCACGTGGTACTGACACGCCGTCGACAGGCTCCACCCCCAGGACGCCAGGACAGACCCGTGGACAAGGTAAAACGGTCTCCACAGGGTGGCGTACGCACAAGGCAAGGGCCTTTTGAAAAGCGGGAGATGTTCGGGTGCTCTAGTCAATTTCTGTGACGGGCTCGGGCGAACGTCTACCGAACGAAAGAGGCTAGGGTGGGACCCGAGACCGAGAGCGATATACCCACTCCGACTCCGACACTTCGTCTCCTGGGTACCGACTCCTCTTCCTTAGTGTAGCACAGGCCGACGGCTGGTAATCCTAGCTCAGATCCATGGAAGGCTTTTCATGGCTGTTTCGAACTCTAATTCAACGTCGAAAATGTGATCCTTAATCCAACGTCGTGGATGCCAGCTGCCTTAGGTTTCATGGCTATCATTCCTACTTAGGCTAACTTCGCAAAGGGAATCCAGCAAAGTCGTTTTGCTACCTCCTCGCCATATACCATCATTAGGTTTGTACAGACTCAATCACTTATTGAGTCTTTATCACTAATTCAGTCCTTGCCACTCATTTATTGTTTGTTTAGTGATCAAGGGGTTGTCACAGCCACAAAGCTGATGGCATCACAACAATGCTATCAAAAGCCGTTTAGACAAAGGCTATGTGCTTTCCAGTATACTCAAAGGCTTCTGTTCTATAGCCCACGACTGTGGCTTCGGCCTTGCGCCCCATACTCACCTCTATCGTTGAAGAGGGAAAGAAAGACTTGACGATGGTGGACCAACGCAGACAATTTTTCCAACAGATCCAGACCTCTTCCAAAGCGCTTGTAGCGAACGAACAAGACATACTGAATGCCTTACCAAGTACGAAAGGCCTCTCCCGGATCGACCTGGCCGAGTCCATATCAATCGAGCGCATTCGCACGCAACACACGCACACCACTCGGTCTCGCGCTCTTTTGACGGAAGCTCGAAACAGTAAAATAGATAAAGCATATGGAAGTGTCCGTACAGTCCCTTATCTGCGCCGGCAATGGTCTGTTGACTTGTACCAAACGCCGGATCAGCGAGACCCTCACTTGAGCGACGATGATGGTGGAGCGGTGGACGATGTCGTGGAAAGAGATTCTATACTCCAAAGGCATAAGCTCAGTACTAGTGAGCTAGAGTCTGATAAGAACATGGTATACCTCGAAACGGAGGGGGCTTAGGTTCGGAACGAGCCCTTCAGCAAGATCGACCACATCGGTACATGGTCCTATAATGAAATTCTGGATATTGGCCTCGACGTCATCTATCGTATATTTAGTTGCGAATATCACGACATCGCCATTCGCGGCACGCCTTTCGCTTGGGATTTTTACACGATTGGCCTTAACGAGGATGCGACTTTAGAAGCTGGGGAAGCGCTGCAGAAGACGATAGGGACGAACGAATTTGTCATCATTCCCGTAAGTAATGGCTGGAAAAGAGCACACGCAGGAAAGCGTAGTGGTGGCTTGCTCGGTACACACTGGACATTGATGGTCATCGACTGCCACCACCCGGTCCTCCATGCACGACACTATGACTCCGATGGCATGTCGAGCAATTTTGAAGCGGCTATGGTACTGCTTCGTGGTTTCAGCGGGATATATGCGGATACTAGGCCAGACTACAAGATCGATCAAGAGACGCTCGAGATTAACCTGCATCGGGAAGCGCGTTGCCCAAACCAAAAGCACGACAATCAGTGCAAACCCGACGGTGGAGGCGCATGTGGACCTTTTGTATGGGAATTTACGAAGGATATTGTACTGTATATCATCGAAGGTCATGAAGACGTTCACCGTCTGGGACGACATGTTGAAATTGACATTACCTTACCCACTGGCTTTGCGCAACGTTGGTGTTGGGATTTGGGGGCGACGAGGAAAAGTCTCAAAAGCCTCCTTGAACGAGAACGAGGGTCAAGGGTTTGGATTAATGGTACAAATGACTGGTGGAAGGCAGGCGAACAGCCTGGGTGGAAAGATTGGTTAGCGGATAAGAAGGAATGGATAACTTTGGATTATTTTTGGGATCCTTGGCATGGTCTTCAAGGTTGGGATTCTAACCAGCTGTCCTGATACAATAGCTTATGAGGATTCTGTAGTCCACGTCATACTGCTCTAGACTTTTCCAAGAATCAAGTAGTAGCTAAGGTAAGTGCTGACCTTGCCAAGTCAGGACTGCTACTTTGGGAGATTTCGACACTTCTCATGAGTATCATATCGCTCAATACCATCTGAAAGGCTGTGTATATTGAAACTGTCAATGCAAGCGTCAGAAGCGGCTTCCAAACGCTCTCCAGGTCTATACCGGCCCGCTGACATGATGTACCCAGTAAAAAAGGTAGACTAGCGCATGATTTAGAGACAAGCTCACGAACTATACCGGCGTCTAATTTACATCCCTGTATCCACTGTACATTCGAAAAGTATAAAAAGGTGTTATGATTATGAGCGTACTGTCACCGGCCGTCCAAACTGAGGTGCCAACTCGCTTTCCAACACCCATGGGTCCCAAAAGGCCATCTCATCCAACCCCTTCCCCCTCAGCCATGAACTCCAGCCTGCCATACCGTCCCCAGGCGTCAAGACCCTCCCTCTTACGTTATCCATCCATTCCGAGTTACGATTTAGCCACTTACGCGTTCTCAACTCCCTCAGTACAAGATTCCAGATCGCCCTACGCGTCTTCTCCGAATCCCAGTTTCTGCGGCTTTGGTAACCGTCTGGTAAACAAGGATCGATTTGATCATGATCGAAAAACTCGGGGTCTTCGCGACAGTCGGCGATGTATTGCGTGATTTCCTTGCTCATTTCCCATACGAAAGGGCCACAAGCACCCATGCCGTCTTCTTTACCGCTGACATTCTCATGTCCTTGGTTAGGGCAGTGTGTGTCAATGTCAAACACAAACTCGTTTTCGTCGAATCGTCCCGGTTGAACATGGTTGAGCATCATTCGTACGCCTGATAAGATCATCAGGGCAGCTTTGCAAATGTTCGAGTCCTCGACTGCGTAGTGACGTAAAGGGCCAGCGGATTCGTAGTAGCTGGAGTCAAAGTACCGGCCCTTGATGATGGAAGAGTGGCAGTCGACGAGAAGAAGAGACCAGTGGTTGCCTGCGGTTTGTGCAGGACGCTCAAGCTCTGTGATGGGGTTCGTCTTGGCGGCTTCATACTGACGTTCAAGTTCCACACCTCTCTCGTAAACGTCTTTATAACCGTTGCTAATCGGTATCAAGATGAAGTCTTTGTCTCTGCATTTGTCAGTCAGCAGCCTGTCGAACCAGACTCCCTCTTGGTTTTGAAGTTCCTGCCTTTTCCTTACACTGGTGTAGAGCTCGCCACCTTGGCCAACACGACAGATTGCAATCCCATGTTTTTGGCAGTCAGCAGCTCGCTCCAGTATATCCAGAGATGTGTCTATGTGGTTGTCGTGAAACCAACCGTCGTCGGGGCCGAGAGTGAGAAAATGGAGGAACTGGGATTCATCGATCGATGCGTTTGCTGTTTCGAGAACAGTGTTGCTGGGCTTTCCTGAAGGAGCGTAGTTGCGATCAAAGACTTCAAGCCGTTGAATTTCCGTATAAGTATTCTGACTGAATGCTTTTACTTCCTTGAACGCATCAGTATGCTTGAATGCACCGTCATACTTGCGCGCCTCGTCGTGCCTGCCGTTCTTGAACAACAGCAGATGTTCTCCTCCGGAATAGTCCGAGCAATCGACCGACCAGCGACGGGGATAGGTCTTTGACCTTAACTCCGATTTGCTGAGTGTGCGGTTGTTGGTAACAGCTTCAAGAACTCGTACGCAGTTGTCGATTGGAATGGCATGGGAGATGAGATTGTCAGTACCTCTGCTACTGACACGATCAACCCCGGTAGCGATGTAAGAGGCTGGCTTGAAATGGGGAACATTCGTAATATCAAGAGCATCGATGGATATCGATGATGATAGTTGGTAAGATCCTACAGGCGGGAGACCATTCTGGGCAAGTGCTTCGTCGAGACTTTGTAGCGACTGGTGGTTGGCTTCCATACTTATGGTGCGTGGTCTTGTCAATTGTTAATGGCTAATGTGCTATGTAAATGCCAGTGCGATCGAACTTGAGACTCGCTCTTCACTTCCAAGATGCATACAAAAGGTCATCTGGTAATGTAGCTTGCCTTTGGTATTTCGAATGCAGGCAGGAGCCAGGGGGACATTAACACAATGGAACCTTGACAAAGCGTGAGATAAAGGATGTAGATGGTGAAAGAGAGGCAGACGGGTGATACAAAGGTCAATAATGCAGGTATCAGACACTTCACACAAGAAGAAAATAGAGCGAAGAGTTTCGTTAATGTTAATACGCAAATCGATCGCTAGCCGCTCATCAGCACCGCTCGCTAGATGCTCCTTGATATCTATCACTAATGCAAACCCGAGAAGAAAGTATAGTGACAGCAAGGGGAGCATACACGTGCACATCTCCATTAACGAACCCAGTTACTCGCCTCACAGCATCACGCAAAGGTGCCCAAGCTTGTTTCCTCTCGTCTGCGATCACAGCTTAACCTGCTTTTCCGGCCTCATCCAGCCTTGTCAACATGCCCTGGACCTCCTTGACGAGAGCCTTGCGCTTGAGCCTAGCCTCTGGATCACCTTCCGTCTCGACACTATCTAACTTGAAGATGATCTGGGTCAAGATAGTCTCACTCAGCTTCTTGTATTCAAATGTCCTCTTCGCCTTATCTGCTGGCGGGCTGGCCATGAATTGCACGCACATAGGTACGAATTCGGTGTGGAACTTGCTGGCGATGGCATCGAGTTTGCCGATTGGGGTTTGGGGCTCGGCGGGTTTGGCAGGGGGAGGAGTGGAACTTGGGCGCGGGGCCGCGTTGATATGCGAGGGAATAGGGAGGTATTCTGCGCCTGCCCCGCCAGTTGTGTAGCCGGGTGTTGAGGTTCCAGAGGCGTTTGCCGAGGAAGGGCCCTTCTTCTTGCTCTTCCTGCCGCCGCGCTTGCGGGACTTCTTCTTGCCCGTGGTGTTCGCGCCAGAGTCGACATCATCTTCGTCGTCATCGTCGTCCTCTCCTTCGCTGTATGCGTGTTGTGGGGCGTCTTCTGATCCAGGTGCTAGGCCGCCGACTGGGGTTTCGCCCACTGTGACTAGAATCTCACTACCGGTTCCGTCGCCACGGAGGCCTTCCTCTCGTCCAGTCCGCTCGTCGTGCTTCAGGTTTCTGCCCTTGTAGAACATGCGTATCCGCCTGTGGTCATCGACGCCCAGCTTCTTGGCTGCCGCCTGTCGCACTGTACCAATCTTTAGGTCTCCGTCGCGTATGCTGTGCGCGGGGAAGTGTGTAGGGTAATGTGTGCGCCCGTTCTTGAAGATGAGAACGTCTGTTTCCCGTTCTGGGTTCTTGTCATCCCAGTCTACGATTTCGGGCGCTTGCGCTTGACCATTCCGTCGCAGGTCTTCGTTGGTGATGTATGAAAAGTCAGAGTCGTTGACGACGCCGGCGTTTGGCGAGTTGCCTGGACGCCCAAATGGCGAGAACCGTCCTCCCCAGTTTCCGCCGGTGCGGGAGAACCAGGACATGGTGACGATGACGGAGGCTAGTGCGATAGCAAGTGTGGTGAGGTAGGTAGGGTCGTCGAGGCGAGGATTCGTGAGGAACTCGGCAAGGTCGTTGAAGCCGCGATGCTGTAGGGAGCGCAGCACTTTCGATAGCGCGTTTGTGTTTTGGTTTTCAGTGTCGCTTGACGAAGAAGTTGTTGTGAAGCGAGAGTCGAGGAAGTTGAAGGATTTCTTCAATTCGTCGACCAGGTTACTTAGCGACGCCACGGTGGTGGTGTGAGACTCGCCCTGCCAGTGTAGCAGGCCGTAAGCAGTCCGCGCGTATGACGTAGTAAGCTGCCAGAAAAGCCCTTGTGTGTGTAGTGGGGGGCTGCTGTAGGCGGTGTGAATGTTGATCGGCCAAATGTATGAGCGAGCGACTGGTACGGAAGCTCCGACCGCCCAGGTGCCGGCGCATTGACCTACTTGACTGCACATGTCTCCCACTTGGTCAGCCTCATATACAGCAAAGTACACCTTATACAAGACAAAAAACCTAACAGTTTAGCAAGCTGCATTAAATTAAAAAACATGCAAAGTAGATAACCTAACGTTAATGTAGGCTCTAGGCTATTTAGGTTTTTCCTAGGTTGACGTGCACGCAGTACACATAGCAACTCACCACATCACTTGCTGGGAGTTTCAATAGTCATGCAGTCGTTGATTCAGTATAATACACAAGCTAGGCTTGATCGTGTGTACCGTTCTCGTAATAATTAGTGTCCATCGGACACGTAAGATCCAGAAACAAAGGAAAAGACTTCGAGGTTTATGCCTGGAGAACCGTTACGCCCCCGATGCCAATTATGACGTGAAAAAGAACAAAGATTTGACAAGAAGGAAGTATCGTAAGTCATGAGGCGATGCACAAGCATCGTGACAAGTACGCCAGCAAGTGACTGAAGAGTGAACTAGGAACAAATGCCCGCTAAATCATGGATGATGCTTGTCCGCCACAGCTCGTGACGATCACACACACACCTCAATAGGACCACGTCATACAAGGAAAAAGCTGAACAGGTCTGCAGCCTACGTCAAGACGAAAGTAAAGAAAGTAGATGGTCTGACGTCAACGTAGGCTGTGGGGTGTTTAGTTTTCTTTCTTGAATGACGCGGGACCATATTCTCCGACCAAGACGAGCAAGCTTACGCCCTGCTTCGTTTGGGCGTAGCAAGGAAGGCGAGCCTTGACTTGCTGATAGCACCCGCGCGTCCTGGAGTGTGGCGAGCTGGCTTGCTTGCGCTGGCAGGGGCCTTTGGAGCGAGCGCAGGTGTCCGCTTCATCTTCTTGTTGGAGCGCGTGTCGTCGTTGTTGGGTCCATCGTTCTCTTTATCGGACGTCTCCTGGAGGGTCTCCAACTTGCGCTTGGTACCGTCGACAAGAGAAGACGCATCGCTCGGACGTACCATGCGGATCGTGCCAGTCGATGCAGGGCCTAAGAAAATTAGTGAGTTGTCAGTGAAGAGATGCAGGACGTGGACGTACCAAAGTTGACAGTTTTGCCGGACTCGAAGGAAAAGGAACGTGAGTGATTAGGAGTCTCGCCACCGAATGTGAGGCGACGAGACGGAGACGCAGTCAAAGTTTCAATCTCTTGAGAAAGGTCTGGGCCAATGTGTGCACCTGAGCCGAGACTAGGATAGATCACAGCACCAGCAGGTACCTCGCTGCCTGCCCTGAACTTCATCGGTGACGGTGATTTGCCCAGCTCGTCGTGCGATGCACGCTCCAAAGTACTACTGCTGAAGTTGACTTGCTTCTTCACAGGAGCTGTAGCAGGGACCAGGGATGGTTCTTTATCCAGGCTCGTGGTCGGAGGGGACATGTGAGTACCTGCCGCGATTTTGCCAGGATCGTCCGAGAATTTGCGGTTTGGCGTACGAAGGATTGACCGGACACGCTGCAAGTTGCTGCTTGCCTACTGATATTAGCGGTTACCTGGAAAAGCGCCCATAGATAAACTTACCTTGCGCATGCTCTCACGTGCATTGTCCCTCAAAGTCTGCAGATGGCCAATGTTGCTAGAGGGAGAGAAGGTATCACGTGCAGAGAAGGTATCACGTGCAGAGGACGACTCGACGTTGCGATTGACAGATGGTGAAGCTCCCAGGTTGTTCGTGGAAGGCGACTTTCCTAGGGTTGGAATCATCGATGTCGTCTTCAGAGTCTTGACGCTCTGTGAACGCGCGATAGACGACTTCGTGGGCGTCATCAATCGCGCAGCGAGACGAGGGAGTGCAGTTTGAGATGTCTTCTTACGGGCCGGAGTAGCAGATGCGCGGGCTGGGACATCGGGCATCTTTTCGCGAGACGCAGGGCGGGTGGAGGCAGCATCGTCAGATTCAGTGCGCTTGACGCGCTTAGCTACCGGGTTACGGTCGCCATCGCCGTCGCGGGAGGCCGGTCGTCCATCGCGTGTAGGAGGAGCCATGCGAGCTGTTGACTGGGAGCGTGGCAGAGCAGATCCGGTGAGGTCCATCTTGGATTGAGTGCGCTTCAACGGGGTTGGGGGAATCTTGCTTCCAGACCCAGCGAGGTCCATCTTCGACTGTGTGCGCTTTAGACCCCCAGCGGCACTCGAGCTCGGCTCCGCCAGATCCGCTTTCGACTGTGTGCGTTTGAGTTTGTTCGTCTCCGGGTTCGCGAGCTCTGGCTTCGAGGGCGATTTCTTGAGCGAATGGCCTACGACGGGCTTGAATCGTGTCGGGTCGGCGCGGAAAGCTGACGGGTGGTTCGCAATGGAGTCCATGTTCTTGAACTGCTTCATATGTACGTCGCTGAAGCGAGCCATCTTGCCCTTGGCTTCGGCCATCTTGCGCTGGGGAGACACATCGACCTTGGAGGACCACTCGCTTGTGCCTATATGAAAATAGCGATTAGAAAAAGCAAAACAGGTTGAGTTGACTATCACTTCAACGTACCGAACAGAGCACGGCTACCACCACCAGGCGTGCCTGCGATCCCAGCGTCTTTCAGGATGTTGCGCGAGCTTGGGCTCAGCGCGGCGTCATCTTGTTTCGAAAAAGGCGACTTGAAGCGGAAGCGGAAGTCAGGCGATGACCCAACATTGGCCATCGAAGAGGTAGGTACAGGAGTCTTCGAGGGCGTTGCCTGACCCGCCAGGCCGGTCGCTTTGGATGGCGCGGTATGCGCACCCAGTGACTGGAAACCGAGCCAGCGCGCCTCATCCAGGATCTTGGCTGTGCTCGCATGGTGATGCGCTGGATGCATCTCCTGCCCTGCCGGTTTGATCGGAGTGCGATCTTTGGGCGTTTGGCTCTTGGCGTCATCAATGAGCGACTTGGTTGATTTGCTCTTATGAGGTGTGGGTGTCGCGGCCGCTTGCGGTAACTTGGACTGTGCCTTGGGACCTGCAGAGGCTTTCGAGGGCGTCTTCCGCGCCATGCCAGGCTCTGGCAATTCCGGAAGGTCTGGGAGTCCTAAGTTTGGCGACGAGGCAGTGTGCCAACTATCTTCGGAAGGCGTGGTCTCGCGCTACAACAGACACATCAGTAAATGTAAACAAACCGTAGAAAAGCAATGCGCGCGCATACCTTGAGCAGACGAGCTGATCGACGCGCCATCCTGTCACGAATTGTTCAAGAAGGCTCAACTGCCAGGTTGCGACACGAAGAGGAGCGGAGATTGGGGCTGGCCTGTGGGTGGGGAGGGACGGGGAAGATATCGGCTAGAGCATGGATAAACAAAGCGCACGGGCCTTAACGTCCCGAACAGGAAACGACGTCATGAGGAACTCGCACGATATGTGAGGGCACGTGGGAGACCGCAGACTACGTTAAGATAAAAACATGCGAAGCAGGTAAGTTAACGTTAATGCAGTCTCTCGGGCGTTCAGGGTTTTCCTAGGTTGACGTGCTGCAATGAGGCACACTTGGCGCACAGTGCATAAGACAGAGCTTCGTTGTTTCGCGATCGAATGTTTTCCACATTAATCTTGAAATTTACAGATCACCCTGCGCTGACTTCGCGCATAGACCACGAGATGTTACTTAGGTACTACACAGCTCACCAACCCTTCTGCGTTTCCTTTCCAAGCAGCGCACCAGGTGGTTTCGCCAAACCAGCTTCAACACTTCTCTCCACTTCGTTCCTTAACCCCTCAATTCTCTTTTCTTCATCTTGGGTCTGTGCCTTCGTTGATTCCTCACTTTTCCATACAAAGTTACCGGCCCCACCTCTCCCACTCCTTGCAACTGGAAGTTCCTGGCCTTCTGGATGCCATGGCTTGCTTATTTGTGGTTTCGATGATGTAGGTATAGCAGTTGCGTCCGCGGCCTGCGTGAAGGTGCCCTCTTTCTGAAGTTCAGTGGGCTGGTACCAGTTGCCGGCACCACCACGACCCATGTGTGCGTAGTCTTGGGACGCATTGGAGGGTTGCACTTGTGAAGGGTCGCGTGAAGGTTGCCCAGCGGCAGCGGTGGAAGAGCGGTTGGCTTCGACGTCCTATATTGACGGTCAGCATACCTCAGGAACATGGAGTATTGAGAATGCATGATCATTATCGACTCACCTCGGCAGTCTTCTTACTTTGCTCTTGCGCCGCGTAGTAATTGCCTGCACCACCGCGTCCGTACGCCATCGTGATCAGATGCTTACGGTGACAGCTTACGGCCTCGATTTGGAGTTTGCTGTGTTGGGCGTAGGTGCACAGGAACTATCAATGTTGAACCAGAGAGATGATCAAATCGGAAGATGGATGGAAAGGTTGGGCGTTGCTACATGGTACGCGGCTCCGAGTGGGTCATGCGAACCCATATCAATCTGCGCCCAATGTTCTGGATTGATAGGAACGTGGGGAAAGGCTTGTCTAAACGACGATCTACTAGATTCAGTGTGGGGTCGGAATTGGTCATAAGCTTGGCAAATTGATAACGCGGGCTGCCAAGCAGATGCCACCGTCTTAGGAGACAACTCGGGTGTGATGATTTTCTACATGCGCTTCAGGGTCAGCACATCAGTTGCGGGACGTGTACTCAAATCTGGGTCAATCACACAAGGGTCATGTAATCCTAGAGTTGAAACTTTGAATAATCGTAATATTTGCACACTGTGACTAACAAGTGTAAAGCTGAACATGCTGCCCAAATGCCTATGCCCTAATGGCAGCCGTGGAAGAAACATAACAAGACATCGCTATAACGATAAAAACAGTCATTGGTCATCGTCCCTGATGATGCCACCGAGCCTGGCGAACTCCTTGACGCCATCTTACCCATTTGAACTCCACAAAGCATCTTGAACCCGCCTAAGAAGAAGCACACTACTCTCGACCCTCTTGTACAGCGCGCAGTACAGGGTAGAGGTTGTGTGCATCGTCATCGCTCATGCGGCGCTCGAGATCGTGCTTGACGTCTTCCTCATCGTCAGAGAAGTCATGCGACTCCAGTCTGTCTTTGAGGTACGCCCTGAGCCTCTCAATGACTCGGATGTTCTCAACCCACGATTGCTGAGACTGGTCGCCTTGTTCTGTGTTGTTTGACGAAGCAACGCTTGGTGAGCGAAGGGCAGGGTCAACCTTGGGGGAGTGGATTGCCAACTGGTTAACGTCATGGTGAAGACTGTTTTGCTCAGAATCCCGGCGATCCTTGGGCGAGGCACCGTCGCTTGACATATCCATGGAGTCGTGCTCTGATCGGTCCGGAGCGGCCTTCTGGAGGAGGTTACCAGAGAAGCGGCGACGGCCGTCGGAATCAAACGCTGGTGCAAGTCCAGAAGATGGCGCAGCAGCTGACATATCCGACATCGCGCTGACAGATGGTAGCGTAGGGTACATGCTACCAATCGAACTCCTTGATGTGGGAGAAACACCGTTGTTAGAGTGCTGCGCACCAGGAGAGTGCTGAGATCCGTATGACAGGACGCTGGATGCTGGTGTAAGGGCAGGGGTCTCGGCGCTGGTGGATCCGATAGCAGTGGCGTGAGACGACTGGGAGTGGCTAGACGAAAGGCCAGGTGGTGAGTTGCTAGAGCGGTAGCCAACGCCGGTAGGAACGTAGTGACCGGGGTGGGCCACACCAGCAGCCGCAGCATGGTTGGGGTTCTCATAGACGGTGCTTTGCAGTTGCTCCAAGAACTGATCAATGTTCAAGAGATCGCTCTTGGTCCTGAGGTTGGGAAGCGGCAGAGAGTAGGGGTGATGCATGGGCGGGTGCTGTGCTTGGGCAACCATTGAGCCGCCGTGGCCGTACTCAGACATGCCAGCGCCCTGGTAGCCGCCTCCACCGCCACCAAGGACGGGAAGCTGGACACCTTGTAGACCCATGAGCCGTTGGCCGACATCATAGTAAGTGGTTGGGTCAATGGCGCGACGCTTGGCATCTCCGAAGAACTCGTTGAGCGCATCATACGCGGCGCGCTTCCTGATTTCGTAGTCGTTGTTGAGCTGTTGCGATTGGTTCACAGCATAGTAGACAGGACCATAGGCGGAGTTCTGGGGTGGGCCTCCATAGAAACCGGCTGGTGCACCACCTGGGTGTTGCTGGCCGTAACCTCCGTTGGGGCCAAGGGCACCATCAGGATACTGGTATCCACTTGCTGTAGCGGCAAGCGCCTGCAAGTCAGCGACGACTGTAGTTCTGTTAGATATTGATCGAAGTTGGGAAGTAGACATGAGTCGAGGTTGAGATCGACCAAGTCATGTGAGGACTACTTACGCTTGCCGTTTTGGCCCGGGTAGCCTTGGGCGCCGTGGGGACCGCCTCGGTTGGGCTCTGGGGAGCGGAGTAGCACGGAATCGTCGGCGTGCGTCTTTACGTGCTTCTTCAGATCCTGAGGACGCTTGAACGCCTTACCGCAGAAATCGCACTTATGCGGCTTCAACGGCACGTGCACGCGAATGTGAGAAGTGATGTGGTCGCGCTTGACCGTGGTGGTGCGGCAGTTTCCCCACTGGCACGTCAAATTCAGGTTGTTGGTGCTCTTGCGACCAACATGGCGCTCACAGACGTGGTCCTACACGCAAGTTAGCAAGCTGCAAAGGCGAGTAATGGCAGTATTCTACGCGTCGTCGCTAAGAATACTTGGCGAATAACTTACATAGAGCTGCTCAGCAGAGGGCAGACGGTCGCCGCAGTTCTGCCACTGGCAGGTAAGCTGATCGCCTGAGCCTGCAGAGACTGAGGCGGGAGTTGGAGCATTCTGCTGGATGGGGGTGCCCTGGGGCTGTTGTTGAGGAGTCGTGGCCGCTGCGGGCACTGTATTCTGAACCTCGCTCATCGTCTTGGCGAAGGTGCTGGTTAATACCAACAATGGTGAGGGTGGAATGTGGGTGAGAGAGTCAAAACCGCTCAGAGCGATGACAGATATCGCAAAGTTAAGCTGCGGTAAGGAAGGGGCAGTCTGGGGTCGTGGAGCAAAGTCAGAGGAGAGGGCGCCCAGAGGTTCTCGGGGGCAGTTGGCAGCTTTTACCAGCGGAACGGAGCGGGCGAAGATTCGCCCAGAGAAAGAGAAACTGGCGCGGCCCATGAGCGAGGCACTGCTGGGCTAAGCCAGGGCAGGCATGGTCCGTGTAGGGTGGGCGCAGACGTCCTGTGATTCGGCCTTGCCTGTCCAGCCGCCCCACTCTCGTGCTCACTAGCGCCTTGGCCCTCATCTTGGCCGAACGCGATGGCTTCGCCGACATCCGTCACTCGCAAATGACCACATGCGACCCAGATTCAAGTACGCGCTGCCTGTTTTCGCGGGGTTTCTGGTCGGCGCATCAAGAGACACCACGCACCAGCAGGGCTGTGGGCGTCGTTGTGCGCGCCGGTGGGTGCCTTGCCGCACGCTCGACCCCTCACACAGAAGCGACACAACCGAAACAGCAATCAAAATGCGGAATTCTTGGTGCCCTTGGCTTATGAGCAGCAGCGGGAAGTATTGGCATCCAATCTACTCCAGGTTTTGCTGCGATCCCATGCTCCTGTCACGCCATCCCATCATCACTGGTGGCGACAGCTGTGGCTGGTTGGCTGGTTATACCGCATACCTTGGATTACAGAGCCACCCGACTGACCATCGGATGCCTTGTTGGCTTCCCGGCTCGGGCGAATGGCCTGTTGCACTCGCATTCTATGCAAGTGGGCCATCGATGCTTGCCAAATGCCCCTCACTCCGACGAGATGTTTATGGTACACCAAATTGCGTACTCGCCTGCAGAACCATTTAATATGTTCTCGATCTTCGGCCCAAATGTTCATGGACCAGCTTGCCAGCCTTGGAGTCGCGCCGGCCGTATGTAGATGAACTCTGTCGCAACCACATCCCCTGCCATTCCCTGAGCATATAGTGCACTTCTAACACGTTGAGGCCCTCGAAAGGTCCCCTGAATGGCTCCGGGTTTTCATGTCTCAAACGGTCGCCAGCTTTGGGCGGGATGTCCACGCATCCACGTTTCCACTCTTGGCTCTTCGCCAAGTGCCCAGCAAGTAGGCCAAGAATTGAGCGATTATCACATTGAGGCTATGCACGCTTACGAGGCAGGAGGTATGGTCTTGCGGAGCAATCACACCTGCCGCGTGTGTAGCTCGCTCGTAGTAAGTACCTAGGTAGCACTGGTCCCAGGAGGTTGACCATAGCAGCCTTGCGGTATTTTACGTTCTATTGGCGGCTCTCACACTTTTCTTCTCTCTAAACATAGCCGGATTTCAATCTCCGTACTTCAGGGGTACGGACAGCCATCGCGCGAACTGCGAACGCCTGCATAGCTTGTATCATGTCTTAGCATACCAATTCCAAGTTCGGCAGATCTTGCATGCAACGTCGCTGCATCGAACTCATGAGGTGCATCTGGAATGAAACGGGAACTGCATACGTCTACATTCCTCGACGTAACTTTTACTTGATTGATTCCAAACAAGGAAAGCTGGGTTCTTCGTGTATCTGTACTCGGCGATACGTCGAGACCGGCCCTTCTTCGTTTCTAATGAACCAGCACATCTAACCACATACACACCACTGCCTCGATTGAACTAGTTCCGATCTCTCTGTAACATCCTGCATCTACCAGGCAGGAGACGCGTGTACACATATCACGTATGATGTATGCATTCAGTTGCCTGCAACACCTTGCTTAAGCAGCCAGAATGTGCGTCGCAGTTGACGAACCAGTAAGCCACAGCACCGCCACGCCCGCCTCCTATCTGCATCATGACGGACGCCACGCCTTTGCGCCGTCACCCAAGATCAGCGGAGGGCCTTGGAAGATAGGAGACAGGTCTTAGTACCCATCGGTGCATCAGGCTCTGTGCCTGCTTGCCGATGCATCCGCGTTCTCGTCCCGCACGAACACCAAGAGTACGGCAGAGCGGAATTCTTGATTCTCAATCGCCAAGCCCCAACAGGTACCTTCTCCTCCACAACAATCTTCATTAATCAGCGGTTCATCGACGATCGCGCTGGGACTAGATTTTCCAATCTGTCTCAACGTTGTCTTACAAACCGCCAAACCAATGCAGACGACATCCACATGCGATAAAGCCAAACGAAACACATACCTTTTCTTTGTTGTTACCATGTGTCAATGCTCATCTTTTTCGCATCAGCTCAAGCTCTACAGACATGAAACTTGCCGCACTCTATACTCAATGAGATCAACATACTGATACGCAAGTATTGATAGAGGTATATTTATTGAGAATTCACGTGGCACGCTGCGCATTCCTTGCAGCGCCCAGGCAAAACCCTACTTGTAAAAGAAGGCCACAACCATGTAAGGATGCGGCATGCAAAATGGAACCCGCAACATTTCGTAAGACAGAACACTGCTGTAACGATGAGTCTACAGTGCACACACTCTCAAACTCTGGGCCCGATGTCTCCCAGCTTATCCCCTCTTCGCCGCCGCCTCCCTCAGCATATCAGCAATAGCATAATACGCCGGCTTCCTTTCCAAATTCTCATCCCACAAGCAAGCATTCCCATTACCCGGGAAACTCTCCGGCACCCAACTAACCGGATCCCAAAAGTCCCAAACGGTAACTCCAACACAGCTCTCCTCATCAACACACGCACGCACGGAGTCCGCGTAGATAGCCGCCTGCGCAGCCGTCTTGTTCGCATTGTCAGGCAGCCCGATACGAACATCCAACTCCGTCAGCGCAGTCTCCAAACCCAACGCGGAGAACAGCTGTTGCGAAGCCCGAACATCGTCATAAGTTGGCGCTCTGCCTACGGTGAAATGCGCTTGTAGTCCTACACCATCAATCGGTACGTCAGCGCGTTGATACTCGCTGATCATGCGTGCAACAGCCAAACTCTTGTTGTTTACTCTTTCAATTCCGTAGTCGTTGTAATACAATTTTGTGCCTGGACTTGTGTACTTTCTCGCAAGGCGGAACGTATGTTCAATGTACTCTGGGCCAATGACATCGAGCCAGATAGATTTACGCAGCGTGCCATCGTCCTCGAATGCCTCGTTTACGACGTCCCAGGCGTAACAGTCGTTCCAGTAGTAGTCTGCGACAGTTTTGATGTGTGTTTCTAAGACAGATAGGAGGCTGCTTTTGGTCCAGTTGCCGTTGTTCACCCAGTCGGGGAGTTGTTGGTGCCAGAGGAAGGTATGGCAGCGCCGCATTTGGTGCGCATCTTTGCTCGGGTCAACGATCTCGTCGCCAAGCGTCCAATTGAAGACGTTGCGTTGGGGCTCTGTGTGTATCCACTTTTGGCCGTTGGACGGGGTGACTTGGTTGAATTCGGAGCGGTTAAAGGCTATTGAGGTGTACTCGTCATTGTCGAGGACGACGTTGTCAATAGCGGTGCCGAAGTACTTTAGTCCAGCTCTCTTTGCGAGATCGCCGAGACCTTGAGCAGGTTTGGGATGGGAGCCCTGTTTGGGGTGTGGATATATGGGTGCCGGTGTTGGAGAGGCCAGCACAAGCGGAAGGAGCAGCTGAAGGACGGAGGACTTCATCTTCGTGGCGATAGGGCGACTACAGGTGGAAGGCGTAGTATATGTTATACGGCAATCAAGTGCATATCAACTCTTTTTCGGGAATTCCCCGCATTCGAGATTGCCATATGGCTGTATACAGCTCAGCATGCGGTCCGATTCCGAGACGGCCTGTCAAGAACCGGGCTTGGTATCGTTACTGCTCGTATACCAGTGTATCCATTGAGGATTTCTACCGGCGCTGTTGTAGTCAGACATCGTCTGCGGAACTTTGTGTAACGCCCGAAGTTAACTTCGTACTAAGATACGATGGGGCTCACACGAACATAAGAGTATTAACATTGCGAAAGGCGACCAGGCTATCTGGATCATGATGCGATTAACCGCGGGATCTCATGGTGTTCATTACGAGCTTGGTATGCCATTGGGTTGGATCCTGACATGGCCTGTGCGCATATGGGGAAGAGCCAGTAGACGCCAATTGGTGGAGTGATACCAATACAGGCCGTCGCAAAAATTGTGGCCTTCGATTAGCAGGCTCGGCGCTGCAAGGTACGCGGAATGTCAAGATCAGGCTAAATGGAAGTTCGTTGGTTACGGCAGAATGCTCCGGCAGAGCTCCGCAGTGTCTGGAGTGGAAATTGTTCATGCTGTCTCGTTCTATTCTTCGCTGGACTACTATAGTCATAGGCGGCGGTGTGCTTATACGCTCATCGTTGTAGTTTTCCAACTCCATTGAAAACACCAGCTTCTTCCAATTCTTTCTCTGAAATCTTTGGCATGGGGCTGACGGCATCTGCGCGTTTAAGTGCACTTTCAATGCTGCCCCAGAATTCATCAAGATTGACGCCTCTAGGTATGCGACAGCCACCTTCCCCGTTCGGAAGCTTGGTAACCTTTGTTCGACCGAGTTCACCGGCTTCTGACTTGTCTGTTGAGTGAACGCCTTCCGTGACTATATCCACCTGGAAGCGTTCGCCACCTTTGTCGTCGAATATGCTAGGATTGTAGGCAGCCGCTACAGCGAGAGGATCGTGTAATGGCGGTCCTTCGGTTATGGAGAACACCTCAGCGTACGTTCCAGCGAAGAACGACATGATCTGGGTGAACAAGGCCCGCATAGCTGAGGGTGTGTAGTCACTCTTCGAGACTGCCTGATCCCATATCTCGTCTCCATATAGTTGTGTTTGGCGGACTTTCTTCGTACCGAGGACTTGATGGGTCAGGTCGAGGGGGATAAGCGTCGTCTTGGGTTTGAGGACGGGGTGCGAGAAGATGAAGTGAGACGCTTCAGGGTCGCACTGTTGTTATCAGCATTCTCCAAGCATACGAGGGGTCGGTGTCTTTACGTAGATCTGTGGGGGATTAGCCTTGTCGAACCACACCATGCATGTAGATTGCAGCATACGTTGAATTCAGCATAAGGTGTCCAATTTCCAAATCGTTCGCCTTCTCCTTGAACTGTACCCATTGGCGCATTCGTGAAGCCTCCTCCGACTGCACCCCCCATTATGCTGAGGCCTTTGAGATGACCCGCTAGGTCTGTGTACTTCTGGAATAGCAGACCAATGTTGGTCAAGGTACCCGTAGAGACCAGCCAGGCGGTATTCGGGGGTGTAGCCATGAGCGCTCGGTACATGGCTTCGAGGTGGTCGACATCGGTAGCGGCTGGTTCGACGGGTTTGGGGAGCAGCGTCACACCGTCTAAGCCGGACTCGCCTGTTCTTGTCAGCGCGTACTCATGGGGACTGGATGGAGTCGCACATACCGTGAATGTCAGCGGCATGTACAGCATCGCGTATGATTGGCTTCGCAGCGCCCGAGTAGACCTTCACGTCGCGTCTTCCGATTGCCTCGAGGATTGCCCTGGTGTTGTACGTGGTCTGGTCGAGCGCGGCATTGCCATGGACGGTGCTCACACCAAGCAACTCGACTTTCGGATCGTGCGCGCAGAGAAGGAGGGCGTAGGCGTCCTGGGGTGGTGATGAGCAGCGTGTGGGGGAGAGCTTATCGGAGACTCACATCATGCCCAGTATCCTTCCTTGGTCAGCACTACACATGAGGAAAGCACGAGCGGATACACACGCAGTCGAGCCAGATCGGGTTTTTGGGAGAAGGATTGCCCATGGTGTTGTATGTATCTACCAGTGGTGTGTCTATCTAGGTGCAGCTTCAACTGCAGATACGTACCACATGCACTATATGCACATGCAGGGTGGCAGGGTTGCAGGCGGGATGCTTGGTGGGGTTGCTGCACCGCTACTGGCTGAGGACCCAGGAACGCCCATCTCTAATTACGCCTGTTCTCGTCGATGCTCGACTCTCATTCTACAAGACTGTGTTCACCGACGTGTCCAAGAAGCGAGTGACGACAGGAGGAAGGAGCTCAGCTCGTACTTTGAGCAAGTTTCGATTGGCTGGCATCACTGGCGCCGTCAGCCCTGCATCAGCAAAGTCCGAATCTGAGTCTTGCACCGTTACAAGCACACGTACACAACACGACTCCCCAACTTCACCCTCCAACACCTGACCTTGTTCCCTCTAGTCGCTACGCATTCGTTGTATGATCTGCGCTACAGCTGGTCCTTTCGGATCTTTTGATGCGGACCTGTACGCCGTGAAGCCAAGCTACTGCAAAAGTTATTCATATCTGCGGTACGCAGCATTGATAGTCCAGAACGGGCTTTGAAATGGACCTCTTTCGGCGTCATAAAGGTCATCATGAGGTCAAGACAGATCAATACTGGGCGCTTGGATACTACTTCGAAAGCCTGAACGACGAGCAGAAACATCAGCGCCGGGAGTATCTGGAATGGTATGGTTTCGTCGCCCAATGGTCGGTCGTTGTCGTATTTGCACTTTTTCAGAGCGGCTTCGCCTTGTCATGGGCAATGAACAACGTGTTCAGGCATGATCAGCCCAAATCACCATCATTCACCAAATGGCGAAAGGACAGACTAGGATGGCTACGGAGTGTACAGACCGGTTGTAGCAGAATGAACTGGTGGATGCACAAGGATGTCATCAGGGGCTGGAGCTGGGGCACAAGAGGAGAATGGATTGGAGCCAGCATCTGGACAGTATGGCTATTATATCTTTGCATAGCTCACACTGGGAACGGTATGGATTTTGCATCTCCGTCGTTCACGTCTCCAACTGACAATACGTAGACTATCTCCATCTCACCAAGCGTTTCGGACAAGTTGGCGCATCACAGTTACCAGTTCATTACTTACTGGCAGTGCGAGCGCCATGGAGTCCTGTGCAATGGCTGACACGACTTTCTCATGAGCAAATCAAGGCCTCGCATCAGATCCTAGGACGCGTCACGTTCCTACTCTTCTTGCTACATACGGCCCTATATCTGAACTTCTTTGTTCTATCGGGGTTTCTAGCAAAGCGCATCAAGGACTGGGACGTGATTTGGGGCCTTGTGAGCATCATCCTCTTTACCACCATCTCTACGACTGCCCTCGGATTCATACGCAGGAAGAACTACCGAGTGTTCTATATCTCCCACGTCGCCATTGCAAATTTCATTGTCGTACCTCTGTATTTACACGTATCTCATATCCGCATCTACGTGTATGAGATTCTTGCGGTAGAGGCATTACATGTCATTTCCCGAGCTGTATGTCTGAAGATGTACCAAGGCACTCTCAGACTTCTGCCCGGCACCAATCTCGTCCAGGTCCGCATCCCGCTGCCTGCAGAAAGCGCTGCGCTTACTTGGAAGCCTGGCCAGCACGTGTACCTGAGCAGACCGCATATTAGAGGAAAGACTCCAACATGGTACGAGCAATGGCTTATGACGAATAAGACGAACCCCTTCACGGTTGCTTCTCTCCCGTCAAAAGACAAGGAACTACTCCTCATTGCAAGAACGCTCAACGGAAACACCAAGTATCTGGGAGAATTGGCGCGCTCTTTGTCCCAGGGGGGAAGCAATGTGCCCATGCTACCTACGGCTGGCGGTGACATTCCCATCCTGCCATTCTCTCTCGAAGGGCCATACGGAGCCTCCAACCGACTACCTGATTTATCAGACTTTGACAAAGTACTTTTGGTAGCTGGCGGGGTTGGTGCAACCTTCATCATGCCTATCTATCGGAGCATCATCGACTTGCACGATCCCACACCTGCAGGTACCCAGATCCGGTGCATTTGGGCGGTTCAGAAGCTGGCCGAAACGCAGTGGGCATTCCCTGCAATTTCCGTACCCAATGACGAGCACGAGGAGGACGCAGCGGCCGATGCGAACGAGACTGGTTTATTGCAACACCCGCAAAATGTCGAGGTCTACGTCACACGACCTTTGGGACCCAACCTGCAAGTTGATGCGAGCGCGGCTGGCGTTTTCGCCATTGACGACGATGAGGATAGAGAGGGGATCGAAATGCAAGAGAACGAGCAGCTGCTGAGCATGGAAGAGCAGATGGAGAAGCCGCGAAAGGGTATGCTTGTCAGAAGCGGAAGGCCGGATCTGAGTAACGTTGTCGATGAGGTGTTTAGCAAGGGTATGAGAACGGCGGTAATCTGCTGCGGGCCGAAGAGGCTGACGGACGATCTCAAGAGGAGCGTTGAGGTTTGGGTGAAGAAGGGCCACGACGTGTTTTGGTACGATGAGACGTTTGGCTGGTGATGCACAAGTCTATAGCAGGCGCATTTATGAGATCTGAGCTGCTCATCAGCCTTGCTCCTGCCGTCAACCCGGCAGTTGGGTATTGACAGTGGGTCATATCGGTCAAGCCTATTCCCGCAACCCGGGACCTCTCAACTCTCACCACCACCTTCTCGTGCGAAGGTTTGGACATTCGATGGATACCTCGGGCTAGCCGTTAGATCCAATTCTAAACCTCTGACCGCCTCTGGACCACGCCCGATCTCCATGACGGCGGACTGTGGGCCGTTGCCGGAGGCTATCTTGTCAGGAACGGGAAAGGCGCAGGGAGACGGAAGCTTGTCAAGACAGTTGTGCACTGTTCAGGCTGTGTGCATAACAGGGAAACAATCAAACTGGGTTCATGGGTGCCTGCGAGTGTTTACCCGGCGTGTGGTGTTTAGGTGTTTGGGGGATGGAAATGGAGACGTCTTCAAACAGCAAAAAGCCTCTGCATGTCTAGAATCGCGAACCATATGCAGGTACTCATTGCTTTTTGCATGCGCGTGTAGCAAGGCCGTCCACGTTTAAGGAGTTGGACCCATGGTGTAGCCATTCCTCTTTGGCCGCGGCGCAGATTAGACGAGGCCCGAGCGGGCTGCAGCCAAGGGCGAATCAACATGTTCCCCAGCAAGGCGAGCAACACTCCCAAATCCTCTCCTCCAAGGGCTCCTGCATCCCGTCGCGACTCTCTCACGAATCATTGTCACTGCCGTGGCTGGACTCATCGTGCGCGGCGGCGTTTCCGATCGCTAATATTTGCTTGTCTCTCGTTGTAATTCTCCTTCTCTTCCCTTCTGATCGCACGCGCCAGCACCACACCCTCACCAGACAGGGAAGCTGCTTGCACGCGCATGCAAACCACCCCTCACAACTTCCGACCAGCGTCCCCACACCGACGTCTTGCCTCCTTCTCGCCCATGGCATTGTTTTTATAGCTGCAGCGCTTTATAATAGGGACCTTGCTACCGTGAGGCTACTTGTACACCGCAGTCTGCCAGCGGCCGCGGTCTCTGCCCGGCATCGCCCCTTCTCCGCCCTCGACACTCCTGGTTGCGTCGTCACCCGACGTCGACTGTCGCGTACTCGCACGCCGCTGTGCCCTACCGCCTCATAGTCTCCGGCACGTCATCGGTTGGTCCCCAGCCACCTCGCAGCCCCGTCCATGGCTACTTTCGCGTCCTCTCGCCATACGCCAGCTTCACTCCAGCAACTCACGCCCCCCAGTAGTTCCCACGGCGCAGGAGGATCGTGGGACTTTGCTGTGCCTGTCAACGATTCGGTACGTACCAAGTTTAGTCTCTGTAAAAATGCGTCATCTGGGTCCGGCACGACTCCGCTGGGACACTAGGTGCACTACTGCGGCTCTCCCCATGGCGCCTCTGACCGCCAAGTTCGCCCACTTACAATGCAATTTCAAGACCTGCCTACAATGATGTCAATGTGCGAGGAGTAGCGTGCTGACCATTGTGCAGAGACAGTCATACGACCAGGAGCCCTACATGTCTGAATACGGTGCTTCCGCCCACGATTCCCGACAGCCCCTCACTTCGCAAGCCAACGGATTCGTCAAGCCCGTACGCTCGCCCACGTGGGACTCACAGGACCAGAACCGCTCACAGTTGGTCCCTGACCGCATGAACGAACTGCATAAGAAGAAAAGTGGAGACATGATTGCCAGCAACATCGACCAGGACAGTGTGTTGGAGTACTACAAAAGCCACACCAACAACAAAAAGGGCCCCGTTTCCGTCAAGGGAAAGCCCAAGAAGAAGACGACCAAGCCTGGTGCAACAGAGCCCGAGTATGACGCAAACCACTGGATACACCGAGACAAGCTTAAGGAGATTGAGACTCGGGAACTAGAGGAGGCAGGCTTCAGGGTTGGACGGTCGAGCAGGTCGAACAGCCGCTCGCAAAGCGCCACGCGACGTGCGCGAGACCGCACAAACTCTGCATCTACGGACCACACGCAGAACGGCGAAGAGCGATCCGAGCCCCGCAAACGCATATCCACGATACCAGCTGAAGATGAGGATGCCACAGAGGAATACCATGCTTGGAGCCCGACGTTCCCGGCCGACGGCACGACCGAGTTCCAACCATCTTCTCAGAGAACAAACCACACTGTGAGGCCTAGTACTTCTCGCATTCCTCTACCCAAGACGAGCGGTATTCCTGTACCTGCTTCAATGGCAGAGCGTGACGCGCCGCTGCCAAGGTCTAGAGGGAACAGTGGAAACTGGAACGGGGACGCGATTGCTACCATGGGTGCACGCGTACGGAGCGGCAGTGTAGGCAGCCAAGCATTGCTCGATGATGTCGACGATGGTCGGCAGACGACGCCTCCATATGGTAGCCACAGGCGCAATACCTCTACTGGAAGCTGGAGTCCGCCTAAATCGCCCCAGAAGTCGCCTATGAAAGCCAAAACGCCAGGGAAGACCAACGCTACTGGAGCACGCAAAGCCAGTGCCCAGAAGACACAGCCTAGGTCCCGCGTAACATCCAACAACTCGCCTCCAAATCGTCCACGGACCAGTGGCGGGTCTACCACGACAAGGCCTACCACCAGCCACCGACCGGAAGGTGAGGCTCCATGGATAGCGTCCATGTACAAGCCCGACCCACGTCTGCCGCCAGACCAGCAGATTATCCCAACCCATGCCAAGCGAATGCAGCAGGAACAATGGGAGAACCAAGGGAGGGTCGGTTCCATGTACGACAAGGATTTCCGGTTGTTGAATGATGATGATATGGCGGACAAGCGACTATCACAGCTCGCCAACCTTGACCCCATCGCTATCGAGAAGGCTCGAGAGGCTGAAACCTGGCCACTTCCCAGTCCGACAAAGCCCGACTCACCTGCGTCGCTTGAGAAGGTTGACACAAACACTGCCAAATCGCCGGTCAACGAAGGTGGTTACAGCCTGACACCGAAGATACCTCAAGGTCCCGAGCGTGCTCCTTCACCAAAAATGGCCCCTCCTATCGCCCCGGCCGAGCCAAAGCCTGCCGTGACTCGCGTGCCCGAGCCGAAGGAGGAGCTCAAGGAGAAGAAGGGCTGCTGCTGCATCGTCATGTAGCTTTCATTGCTTTATATACCCATTTCATTCCTTACTTACACCAACTGCGTTCAAAGACAGGTTTCCTTCATTGTATGGCGTTACTGGAGCACAGCCTTTGGCTTGGTGGCTACATTCCTCTCTATATTCAACTCGTTACACACCCGGGCTGATAGCGTTCAGCGATCATTCTAGTGTTACACTTGCTATCTTTCTAAACCCTCCGTACAGTCTGTGCGTCTGGCGTTTGTATTCTTTCATCTGACTTGGGATACTTTTACATCCATGAGCATATCCGACCGGCCGACCGCCAGTATTTCCTTAGTTTATCGTATACAGAGATGGGACATTCATGTCCATGGCTAGCAATGGCCTCAGTAGGAGGATGAGATATGTTTGGAGGAGACATGGCTACGGCAGGTCCAAGCAGCAGCGACGGAGCTGTGTCGTGGTGGTAGAATGTACAGACATACAATGATATCGATCGTTCGAAACTTTGAATGTGTTCAACCTCTTTTCGTAAATTCTTCCCTCGCCAGAAGAGTGACGTAGTCTCGCTTCTGATCTGGATATCATGAGGGAACTATTTGTAGTAGGTCACAGGCCTACAAAGACGGCTTGCTCAACAGCCTTCACTATACCCTGGGTGGAACGTACCTTCTGTTATACACGATCTAGTTTTTGAGATTCATTGCTTTGTAGACAGCAACGTAACTTTCATCATCTGCTAAAGTCCACGGGTGCTGGTTAGCTCGTCCATGCGCTAGCATTTCTTCAGGCTAGCGTCTCCACAGAGTGCGAAATTCGAGCCGCAGCAGAACTTCGAACTTCCTTATCACCACAACCAACTCTCTTCGAGGAAAGTCGACAGATAGAAATCATCAATCATGGTATGTGGATTTCTGTCCCCCCTCCGATTCGAGCTGCTCTGTCGCGCAACGAGAATGGCACAGCGCTCAGCACCGCAACCCCGCGCTTTACACTCCCAGAACATCACTAACGTCGCCAACAGTCGGACGGAGAAGACGATACCAAATCCCAAGTCAGCGCGGCCGCCGAGGTCGAGGTCTCTGCCGATGCATCCGGTGGCAAGGGCCAGATGAGCGTCCTTGAGGCTCTCAAGGGTGTCCTCAAGCTCTCCCTCATCCACGACGGACTTGCCCGTGGTCTGCGCGAGGCCTCCAAGGCCCTCGACCGTCGCGAGGCGCACATGTGCGTTCTCAACGAGGCCTGCGAGGAGGAGGCATACAAGAAGCTCGTCGTTGCCCTGTGCTCCGAGCACAAGATCCCCCTCATCAAGGTTCCCGATGGCAAGCAGCTCGGCGAGTGGGCCGGTCTCTGTAAGTTTTATCCTGTGGGGTGCTGAAGGCCGAAAAACTTCGCGCGCGCGACACCATCCAATGCCAAACATGAACCACCACTAACAAGCTCAATAGGCCAGATCGACCGTGAGGGTAACCCCCGCAAGGTCGTCAACTGCTCTTGCGTCGTCGTCAAGGACTGGGGTGAGGAGTCCCAGGAGCGCAGCATCCTCCTCAACTACTTCCAGACCGAGCAGTAAACGTGCCTCACCCGCGAGCACGATGCCCATCCACACACGACTTGTCTCGCACAATCCACCTTCTGCTGCATCGGTTCGGTCGCACGTCGGCATGACACGGAGTTTGGGAGGGATGGAAGGGCGGATACAGGGTTCACGATGTGATGGGTTGCATGGATTTAGACAGGTCATCAGGCCATGATACCAAATGAGAAAGGATTGAATGAACGTCAAACTTGCACCAGCTTGTCAAAATGCTACGTGGATATTATCGAGCACCATATGACAAATGATGATGATCTACGCGCAAAACACTCACAACACAACTACCTAGGTATGTTTGGGTATGCCATGGCCGTGGCTGCTGACGGCGAATAAGCGATTGGGCGTTGCACTTACATGAGCTCTCGTATTTTCAGCTGAGCTTCGCATCAACTCGACTACGCAACCTTTCACACAGCAATGACCTTGTCTGGCTGATGCGAGACATCACGTACGTATTCGCAACACAGACTTCCAAACCGAAAGCACAATGGACACAGACTATTGTAAGGTCTGCAACAACCTTGAGTTGATGTCAGATCGCAGCTTGATGAATGTACGTCATCATCGCATCGCCTTTGATTTCACGCCTGTAGAGCTACTTTCGGCTTACTTGCAATGCTCGTATTGCTGTATGCTATTCGAAGGAATCCGGCAATTCAAGGATGAGATTGGAAACTTCGTCGACTCTGTGGCTCGTATATATGCACGCGGACCGGTAGACAATATACCACCAACACTATCACTCGAAATCTACTTCAAGGAATCGCGGCCCAAACTTGAGATTGAGTTCCGTTCCAAGGGTGATGTCGGTATGTCTGTCAGGCTACTTATTGTGCATACGATGTGCTGATTGTACTTTGTAGCACTGCACCCGATAATTTCACCATCCAAGCAGTCATATCAACCGCGAGAAGCTACCTCGACCGAGAGTCTGCTATGGGTTCGATCAAATATCAGTCATTGTCTGCAAAGTCACAGCAGATGTTCAAAGGACACGGAACAACTCCTACCTACCAGAACACTCAGCATTGAGAGCTTGCCGGATGGCGTTATGAAGGTACGCCTATGTGAGACTAAAGGTGTGCGGGGGAGATACGCATGTCTAAGTCATCGATGGGGTGGATCTGAAATGGCTCTGACCACCCGGGCTACATATGCCAACAAGCTCGATGGGATACCCTGGGGCGAAATACCGAAAACGTTCCAGGATGCCATCACGTTTGCAAAATCGTTGGAAATCGCCTACATCTGGATCGACAGCTACTGCATCGTTCAGGACGATGACAATGATTGGAAGCAGGAGTCTGAGAGAATGGCTGATGTCTACCGATCCTCATACATCACGATAGCGGCGACTGTGGCACAAAACAACGAATCCGGACTCTTCTGGCCAAATGACATGTCTCACGAAAAGGTCTTTCAGGCCGGGCTGCAAGGACTCTCTAGAACTCTGTTAGTACGACGGGTCATGCAGCACTGGGAGCGGGTATGGACGTCGAATAGCGAGAGCCGGTTTCCTCTACTTACAAGAGCCTGGGTGTTCCAGGAGAGATTACTAGCCCCTCGAGTTGTGCATTTCAGTCACCTCGAGCTCGTGTGGGAATGCAACGGACAGGGTGACTGCCAATGCGGCTCTTTCGACAACCGTTCAAATGCGAAGGGCATGGAATGGTATCTAAACAACTCATGGCGATATGCCATTGAGTTGTTTAGTTCTCTGAAGCTCACAAGGGAGTCGGATCGTCTTACAGCACTACATGGATTTGCGACATTCTATGCGCCCATTGTCGCAGCCACCTTGGAAAAGGATTATTCCTCTGGACTGTGGAAGCACTCATTACCTCTCGATCTCCTATGGCGAGTCGATCCCACCACGCTATCGAGTTCGAGTCCGCCACGTTTGTGCCGCTGTTGGGATTCTGAGATCAGCTCTTCGAGCTTCGTACCGCCAGGGAAATTATCGGTCCGTACAGATTACCGGATAGCATACAGTTCTCAGCTGTCAAAACGTTGTCAATACTCATATTCTGCCGCTTGTTCCAGTGAGTGTCTTCGTAGGAGAAAGCTCTGTCGCTTTGGGAACTTCGCGGCTGCTATCAGCCCGTACTATGCGGTCAATGAAGTGAGCTGTGTTGACGGAAAGCAAAGTCATGCCAACATAGTCAGTCTGTACGTTCAGGAAAGGGCGAACCCAAGGAGTAAAGAGCAGTCGGACCCTCACAGTGACGCAGCGCCATTTCCATCCTGGTCTTGGGTGTCTGCGCGCAGCCGAGTTAAGTACTGGCACGATTTGGAACTGAAAGCATACGACTATGGTCGACTCGCATGTATCGATGGTACTACTATACGCGCGACTGGAAAAATCCTTGGAGCCACTCTTGTGTACGATGAAACACTGGAGCTAGGAAGTAAAAACATTCGACCGCACCAGGCTCCAGGTGCAGACGAGGCCCCTTTCTTCGAACACCACCATCAAATCTTGACTTACTCCGTAAGCATAAGTCACTCCGACGGCGACGGGTCTTCAAAGTTCCCCTTCTTCCCAGACTCCATACTATGTTTGGAGGGTACGACATATCTTCGCAACTTCACTCCAATATTCTTGTTTCATGTCACCAGTAACGTATATCTGGTGCTTAAGGAAGTACGATATGACGAAGAGGAGCACGACGATAGGGACTACAAAAGATGGATCAATTATAACAACGCTTTGCAACACACTCAAGCAGTATTATTGACCTGCCGTTCTCCGGATCATAGCCGAGAAGACGCGACGATCAGCGTCAACATCACACAAGCTTCGCAGTCATATCACTCATTGGAACGACCATTTCTTTTCAACCACGCAGATCCTGCCTTCCATAAAAGCGAATCCTCCCAGCGGTTTTGGAAAAGACTTCTAGGACCAGCAGTCTACAAAGATCCGCCAGACCGTCTTCTTCCGCCAGAAAACACGACGCAAACACCATTTGTGGAATCTCCAGCACATCCGTCAAATGCTCCTCCATCGTCAACGACCTCAGGGCTGAAGGAAAATCTTTTCGATATACCAGTTCGGCTTGCAACCCCAACAGCAGCAAAGCAAAACGACCGCGAAACCATTTCTACAGGACAGGACACTGATCCCAATTCTACGCATCCAATCCAAAGTGCCTCGAAAGACCCTTTGCCACATGACACCAGAGGCAAATCCGCCGAACAGTCACAGTCACAGTCACAGCCACCAAAAACTGCTAGCGCAAAGTTGTTCGCATTTCCAAGACGCGAAAAATTAAAATATCCGTTCCAACGAATTGGCGTTCTGAGAATTCCTGGGAGTCCACAAGATATCTTGAAAAAGCATTCCTTGTGGGATCAAACCATCTTCATCCAATGATCAGTTGTCAAGTTGGGTGCCGGACCAACATTGCGCTCTTCGACGAGCCATACATCACCATGATACTGATTTTACCGCCCTTTCTGTTTCTCCTATCATGGTCGTCGTAGATGTTGGAACGGCAGAGACGTTACTCGCCACATCACACAGCGACAAGTTTCCGTGCTATCCCAATAATAATTCTATATTCTTGCCAACACTCCCTCCCTCTACATATGTATATATATTGCGATCTGTCTGATAATGCTTATCCCTTGCCACATGCTATGCAAACGCTTCAAAATAAAAGTTAACAGGAGATGGATAGATCTCAACCTTCACACACCAAGCAAACTCAAACCAACGACGCTTAGACGTCACGAACGGTACGGAGAGGAATCTCCGTCTCCACCATTTCCAAGCCGCTAAGACTGGGGTACCGCTTGCTAAAGGTGTCGACGTCAAAGTCGTCACCGCCGTCGCGGGCGATGGGCGGTAGTGGCTTCTCTTTGGTGGCGAGGGTTGATTTCACAGGTGATCCCTGGCCCGGAGCTACTGAGCCGCCAGTTTGGAGAGCCTTAGGCTTGGGAGCCCGGGGAGGGGGGCCGGAGGGGTTGCGAACGTTGATTGTGGGTGGTGCGGAGGCGGAGGGTGTTGGCGGAGGCATGTTTGGTCGGATCGAAGACGGCTTCGCGTACGAGAGATCTTGAGGCTGTTGCGAAGAGACGTTCATGGGCTTGCGGGCAATGGCAGGTGGCTGTCGTGCTCCGCTTTGGTCTTGGGGCCGCATGGGTAGAGGCTTTCCAGTATCGGTGTACTTGCCGTAGCCCTCAGCTGTGCGGTTGGAAGCTGCTGGCTTGCTGCTTTCATCGAGCAGGTTCTTGACGCGATTTTGGATGGACGAAGCCTTGGATGGGCCGCCTTTGGGCTTTCCTTGCCCTTGCGAAGCGACGCGTTGCTTGTACTCTGCAGCAGCAGCTTCAACGCGGCGCTCTTCTTCAGCCAACTGTCTCTTCTCAAGTTCTCTTCGAACTTCTGGTGATAGATCTTGCGTTTCATCGATCTGACTGCGGTCGTCGTCACTCAAGCCACCAGTAGCTTCGGAGCCGGCAATGGGAGTCAAACCGCCCTTGGAATCGATGAGCTGGTCGGTTGGTGTCATGGGCGGTTGATCGCGTTCGTGGTCAGGTGTCTTTGTAGACTCGAAGCGACGGAAGGCATCGCCAAATCGTCCCTTGACGATGTTTGTGATGCTACCACGTTTTCCGTGTTTGCCTTGTTGGCTACTTCTGGAGCTACTTCGGCGGTGTTTGTGACCGTGCTCATCCTGTTCGATGGAGCGGAGGAAATCCACGCTTGACCTAACGTTCTTCTCTTCGGATTCAGAGTCGTCGATTGCGTTTGCAGTGACGCGGCGTTGGAGTGATGGAGCGTCAAAATTACGACCAGGTGTCATTTCTCGATCACGTAGATAGTCAAGGTTCGACTCTACATGCATGCTAGCCGGGCGTGCATTTGAGTTTGCAGATCTCGACCGATCAATGGCGGAGCCTAGGTCCATGTTGGAGGGACGCTGGCTTTCCAAGGAGGGTCTAGATGAAGCCGGGGATTGAGGGATGCTGAGCTGAGATTTGGATCTTGACTCAAAAGAAGGCCGTGCTGGCAAAGCGAATTCGGGCCTTAATGATGGACTGCTCAAGGGACTCCTCGGGCGAGGTTCTGACGCCTGTTGACTCAAAGCACGGTTGTGGTGCGATGATAGAGGCACCTTCCAAATGGGCCGGCTGTTGACATCGGGGAGTTTCTGCTGGGCTGGAACGGGAGATGCTCGTGGGGACGTTTGTACGCCAGTAGAGACCATGCCGACCCGCTGTGGGATGGGCGACTGTATGTTTACGCTGTCATTGCGTGGACTATCTTTGGCTTCGTAGGGCTGTGGTTTCCTGAGCGAGGTCGTCCTGGACACACCCGTGGAGGACACTGCGGTCGAGGGCTTTACCCCGGGGGTTGAGTCGACCTTGGAGAGCGGCGGTGACGCAAAAGCCTCATCTGCAAGCGCATCTGTCACCCGCTTGGTAAGTGCTGGGTCGGAAGTCGTTGGCGCTTCGCCAAACTCAAACTTCTGGCCTCGGTCATGCAATAAAGAAAACTCATCCAGAGACGGGAAGCGCGAGGCCAGCTCGTCAGCAGCAGCTCGTCTGACCTGAACATCCTGCGAGTCAAGGGCAGCGAATGGATCGGATGTTGTTCCTCTCATAGGCGATGGACTTGGCCTCGCTGCCGCTGGAGGTGGCTGGGCTGGACCTGTGGGCCTGCCTCTTCTCATGGGTGTAATGTCTGGTACTTGCTGTACCTGCACTGTAGGTGCTACTCTTTGCAGGCCCACAACAGGAGGCGGCGAAGAAACCTGAGGCTCGGTAGGAGGAAGTTGCTGGTTCCGGCGGGCTTCTGACTGCGTTCTGCCAGAGTAGATCTGGCTAGTCTTAGCATGGGGCCGTGAAGCCAATATGTCAAACATACGTCTTTGATAGGAATGGGCCGATGTCGCATCGAACAGACTTCGGCGACCACCTGGTAGATGTTGGGTCTGTGCTGTGGGTTCTCTCGCAGCATCGAGCCTGTTTACAATCAGTATTTTTCCATGGCCTAGTCTTGCTGCGCATACCTATGAGCTTCTTTATCCTGTCAGAGAACTGGGGGTAGGCTGGGTACTTGAACGTGGCGTTCAGGATAGCCATCTGTCCAACCTCCTCGAAAGGTGTAGTATAGTAGCATAGCTTGTACAAGAGCACCCCCAGCGCCCAGATGTCGCTCTTCTCGTCTATTGGCTGCTTGCGATATACGTCGATCATTTCCGGACTGCGATACTGTAGTGTAGTGTGCCGTTGCACATCGTCCTCGATCAGTCTCCCTTCGGCGGCAGTTGTGGCGGCGGGTCGAGGGGGTGCGGTCGATCCGAAATCGCAGAGTTTGTATATCTTGTTGTCTCCCACAGAAGTGATCAGGACGTTTTCGACCTTGAGATCGCGGTGGAGGAGCGGAGGCTTAAGGTAGTGCATGGTAGCAACGCCCTCGACGACGTCTGAGAAGATGTGCAGAATCTCAGGCTCCGTCAGTCTGTGCTGGAGCCTCGTGTTCATGAAGTCGATCAAGCCGCCTCCTGAGCAAAACTCCATAAGCAGGAAGACTTCATAGCCTCCTGTTTTCAGTTGTGAAGCATGCGAGTCCATGTAGGTGACGATCTTGCTGTGGCCCTTGAGCTTCTTCATGGTCTCGACCTCGGTCCTCATGTTCGCCAGTGCATCTTTGTCCGCACAAGCTACCCTCTTCAAGACGGCAGTCTCGGGGGTTCCATTATCGGACTTGGGTACGCGGACGAGGTAGACGTGCGCGAAACCACCCTCGGAGAGGTACTTTTCGATGGTGACACGGTGGTTGCCGACCTGGACCTTGGTGCCAGACGCAAAGGTGCCTGGGGGAGCATTGGAGACGGCGATGGGCGCGGGAGCGCGGTATGCGGCCTGCTGGGCCATGGGATGGGCGGCCGAGGGCGCATAGCGAGCGGTGGACATGTTGGGCGGTGAGGGAGCCTGCTGCGGTGCAGGACAACGGCGAGGCTATATTTTGCGCATCGAAAAGACGACAGACAGGGCGGGGGTGGCTCTCAGACGCGAGACGGGGGAACGGGTGGTGAGGTGGAGTGAAGGTGGCATGCCTGGAGATGCTTGTGATCGTACAGTAGGAAACGGACCCTTGCAACCACGAGCGCATGGACGAAGCCACACCAACGTCACAATGTATCTTTAGACCGCGACGCCTCGGGCATGCACGCTGGGTTTGGACATTTCTATTTAGCTCTATGGCCCCTCAGATGACTATTCCAGTATCACAGACTCGAGAAAGCCGTAGCCCGAGCATGTAGCGCCAAGCTGGGGCACTTTATTCGGTAGTGTACGTGGTTTCTCTCCCGACGTGTTCATTGGGCAGACGCTTGGTGTTCGCAGCCAGGTCGACTTAACACCAAGACGTTTCGTGAAACATTACGACCTGTGTGCGCATGCGAGGGGTTGGTTGCTTTGGTCAAAATATGCAGCCACAGACTTGGTTAGTGTAACATGCTCATCAGAGGGCAGCAGATGTTGACTACGCTGCGTAGTTGGATATGCAATGTACAGCACGAGGTACAGCAATGGTAGACTATCAGATATTCCGTCCCATATTTCTTCTTCGACGACTTCCAAGATCTAGCGACTAATCGACAGTGTGATGTGATAAGTCCAGACAACGGCCCTGTCGATCCTCAGATCTCCAGATGGGTGTACCATGGATGCAACAACTGGAACGTGTATGGAGAGATCTGGATGCAGATGCAAAGGCAGACGCAGACGGGAGGTTCCCGACTGACGCGGCCCGTGTCATTGCTAAGTTGCTTTTGTTGTAAACCCCGATGAGGGGTTCTTGTAGTCATTCACGCAAGTGAACAGGTATAGTCGAGACAGCCAGTAACGGTGAAGGAGTAGCAAATTGATGATGGCAGGCATAGGCGCGGGGTCACGGCTTCCACAACAGTCTGCCGTACAACCTGCAGCCATGGCAACATGGGATACCGCTACTGTACACGACGCGACTTGGACGCGGCTATGTCATATGGCGATGGCGGGGAAGAACACTTAGGCGTGGACGATGCTAGAGCACATGACGCCGTGGCAGTGTGCAGGTCGGGGGTCAGGACAGCCGTGATGCCGACAGCAAACATGGCAAAGCGTTGACCCTGCAGTGCAAGCGCGGTGGACGAGGGATAGAGGGATCGTCGTGTGGGAGAGGCAGACGAGGACGTCGTGCTTGGACGTGCGGCGAGGGCAGTTGCAGGGAAGGACCTTGGCGGGATGCGACGATGGGCAGCGACCCACTCATGACTGCCCAGACGACTTGACCCTTCCCTTCTTTACCTCCGCACTGTCGTGTCGTGTGTTGTCGCCTTGCCTGTGCCTATTTAGGAGCGTCAAGACAGTCGCCTCCTCCGCTCTCGTTTCCCAGACCGCACTGGTGTTGTTGTATTTGTAGAGTAAGCGGGCTGCCCCATACACCCGCCAGCCGCCGCGTACACCATCACACCGATTGTGCCCTCTAGACGCTGTTTTACGCCCACCGCAATCACGTCTGCCCGTCTATATACACCGAAGCCCCCGCGACTCCTGACACGCCCGGTACCATGGCCGAAAACCCCAGACTCGCACGCGTTCGACAAGGCAACTCGGCGCGCTCACGACGGCCCCAGAGAGACGCCAGCACCTCACGCTCCGACTCTTCCGCCTCGACCTCGCCCGAGCGCGGCTACGACGATGAAGACAAGGACTCCATCATGCTGCAGTCCAACGACTCGCTCTCGTCGCTGGCGCCTTCAGTATCGCCCGACTCGGACGACGAGGCTCGCCGGCGGGCCATCGAAGAGCAGAACCGCGTCTCGCCCGTCTCCCGCCTGCCCGCCGAGCTCATGATCGCCGTCTTCGCAAAACTCTCCTCCCCCGCCGACCTCAAGAACTGCATGCTCGTCTCCAAGACGTGGGCAGGAAACAGCGTCGGCCTGCTCTGGCACCGCCCCTCAACGAACAAATGGTCCAATGTCAAGAGCGTCATACAGACCGTCCAGACGGTCAACAGCTTCTTCGACTACAGCAGTCTGATCAAACGTCTGAACTTGTCCGCCCTGGGCGGTGAAGTCAGCGACGGGACCCTGAAACCTCTCTCAAGTTGCAAGCGTGTTGAGCGCTTGACCCTGACCAACTGCACAAGACTGTCCGACCTTAGTCTGGAGGCCATGCTCGAGGACAACCGCTACATCCTCGCCCTGGATGTCACCAACGTCGAGTCCATCACCGACAGGTCAATGTTCGCTCTGGCCAAACACGCAGTCCGCCTGCAGGGTCTCAACATCACAAACTGCAAGAGGATCACAGACGATTCGCTCGAGGAAGTTGCCAAGAATTGCAGACATCTGAAGCGCCTCAAGCTGAATGGATGCTCGCAACTCAGCGACAGGAGCATCATCGCCTTTGCCAGGAACTGCCGCTACATCCTCGAAATAGATCTCCACGACTGCAAGAACCTCGACGATGCCTCCATCACTACGCTCATCACAGAAGGTCCCAACCTCCGCGAGCTACGATTAGCCCATTGCGCCAAGATCACCGACCAGGCCTTCCTCCGTCTCCCCGCCGAGGCTACCTACGACTGCCTACGTATCCTAGATCTTACCGGTTGCGACGAACTACAGGACTCTGGTGTCCAGAAGATAGTCCACGCAGCTCCACGGCTTCGCAACCTGGTCCTCGCCAAGTGTCGAAACATTACCGACAGAGCCGTCATGGCCATCACTCGTCTGGGCAAGAACCTCCACTACATACATTTGGGACATTGCGCCAACATCACAGATGTCGGTGTCGCGCAGCTGGTCAAGCTATGCAACCGCATACGGTACATTGATCTCGCATGCTGCATTGCTCTCACCGACGCCTCGGTTATGCAACTCGCTGCTCTACCCAAGCTCAAGCGCATTGGTCTGGTCAAGTGTGCGGCCATAACGGACCGCAGCATACTAGCACTCGCCAAACCGAAGCAAATTGGCTCCAGCGGTCCCATCGCACCCAGCGTGCTCGAGAGAGTGCATCTCAGCTACTGCACCAATCTCTCCTTAGCCGTAAGTGCCCCACCCAAGACAAAACCCGTGCCTTTACTGACATGAACAGGGCATCCATGCGCTCCTCAACAATTGCCCCCGCCTGACCCACCTCTCTCTCACTGGCGTCCAAGCTTTCCTTCGTGATGATCTTCTCGCCTTCTGCCGCGAGGCACCCCCCGAATTCAACGATCACCAGCGTGAAGTGTTCTGCGTCTTCAGCGGCGTTGGCGTACAACGTCTGCGCGTCTTCATGAACACTAACGGTGGAGACGACGTTGATAACGAGGACAACGCTTTCGATCTCAACGACGGCACCATGTACCACGAGGAGGAGGATGGTGATAACATGGTCGTTGTCACCGCACAAGCGAACATAATGGCCATTGACGAAGAAGACGACTTCGGCAACGACGACAGCGAGATGGCAGGGCAAGATTAGGAAATTCGCGCACCGCGCGAGCATCGAAGGCGGTCAACTGCACAGCCATCGAACGTTTCCTGATTTCTTAGTGTCTGCATCGCTCATTTTAAATGTTCGCAGCCGCTTTTTCAGCATTTATAGAGGTGTTTGGAGGTGTTGGTCTCTTTGGCATCATTAGCGGCGCTATAGGATATTATCGTTTCTGTAAGGGTACAGAAACGAACAGTTGGTCTGACAGGCCTCACCTCGGTGGCGATTATACCCTTTTTGCGTTTCTTTAGCTTTTTATTCGTAGAATAGCGCGTGCAGGGAAGACGTTGAGATCTCCAGACCAGGAGCATCACGGACAGATGGGCGCACAGCTTCTTAAAACTATATCTGTTTACTCCCCACTACTTTGGTACACTCCGTATCTTGAACTATGCTACCTTTTCACTAAGACATGCGAATCCTAACAGATATCCAAATGTTAGTGGCCGCCTCTCTACCATCTCCTCATCACTTCATCAACCCACACATGCACCCACAGTCCGGCACAGGACACATGGCATGTCTAGCAAACCAATCTCTCGCATGATGACCGTGAAACCCATGCGTACAATTCATGCAAAATACCATCATCCTGCCCTCCTTATCCTCTCCCTTGAGCGTCTCGTACGCCCCCTGCTTACTCGGATCGGGCGAGCCCAGCCACAACATACACAGCGCACATCTCGGCATCTGCGCCGCACAGTTTGGGCAATGGAGTCCAGGAGTGCTAGCCGCGGATTTCTGTTGTAGCGGTGCAGCAGGCTTCCCACCCGCGCCCCCACCAAACGACAAAGAAGCCGTTGCACGATGCGTCGTCGTCGCCGTGGACGGCGCGTTATTCATCCCACCCGCCTGATGCGCAGTAGGAAGCAACCTCTTCGTACTACTCCTCGGATCCTTCCTCAACGCAAGATTCTGCTGGCAATTCAGACACCGCAGGGTCAAGCTCGGTTGACTGGGTTTGTTCACACTCCTTCCCTCGCGCGTTACACTGAGTAGATTGTGTTCTTTGACGTAGCGTGTGCGCTCGAGGAACGTGCGCCAGATCTGCTGTTGCTCGAGATACATGTCTTTCCAGAGGGTCCAGCGCGGGTCTTGGATGTAGAGGGGGCAGGCGCGGGAGAGCAGGAGGACGGCGTTTTGTAGGCCGGTGGTGGGGTGATGCGAGATGTGCGTTTGGAGGAGGGAGAGGGAGCTCGTTGTTAGGCCTGTGAGGAGGAGGGCAGAGATGTCGCCTTGGGCTATTGCGGTTGTTGTGGTGGTGGTGAGGAAGGTGGTCAAGGAGGGGTCTGGTAGGTATTTCAGGGCGACGGCTACGCGGTCAGAGAGGGTGAGTTGGGGCATCGAGACTACGCTTGACCAGTCGCCTGTGATGAAGTAGGTGAGCAGGGATTTTAAGTATGCGTCGCTAGTCATGTCGGCCATCCACGCGCAGGCTTCTCTTTGCTCGGCTGAGACCCCGGAGGAGGGCGAGGCGCAGGCTATAACGGCTGCGAGACCGATGTCATCTTGTGGAAGATTCTTGCTTGTAAGACTGGCTCGGAGGAGGGTCAGTGCGATGTCCTTGTGCCCTTGGAACACCGCAAGGACGATTGCTTTGTATATCTCGCCTTCATCTATGAGCCGTTGACAGTTTTGTTCTACGCCGGCTTTCTCGAGGGGCCAGCCGCAGAGACTGAGACACAATTGCCTGTTCTCTGGATATTCTGTGTTCACGCCATGGAAAATGGGGAATTCCATAGCTTCAACTATCTCTTTCACTGCATCGCTGAACATCTCTTGACTTGTCTTTGTATCCGGATCGATGAGTCGCTCATCGTACATTGTCAGTTCGTTTGCCCATATTGAGCTCACTCCCAAATATTTGAGATCGAGGCCGTTGCCCACCATACCGTCTCCTGCGGCATGAGCATCCATGCGGTCGATTAGCGTCCACACATCAACCAGCCAGGGATCGTTGTGGACGATAGCCTTGTTCTTAGCACAATCGAGAGAGTAGCCTTCTTGGACACGTCGTTTGGGCGCTTGGAGGACGGCTAGATAATCAGGGAGAGGAATCTTGAACTCAGGGAACGCAAGATCGAGGAGGTCCTCGTGCATGTGATGGCTGGGGTGTTCTGTCGACAAAAGAGGTAGGCTTCGTTGGCTGTTGCTGAGGCTCAGTCTATCAATACTGGCGGAGAGGTTGGGTCTGTGATCATGTTCGATATCGTACTTGTCGCCTAGTGCTCTGTTTTGTACCTGGATTAGATCCTCTGCTACAGTACCATATGGCGAAGTCGGCCTAGCGATGCAGGTGCGGTCTTTATATATCTCGTCCAACGCGCTTACGTTGATACGAGGCGGTGTTGGCGGTACTCTGAGAACTTCGACTTCCCGATTCGAATGCAGTGCTAATGCACATTGTCCACCGAGAGGGTTCCCAGTAGTCATAAAGTCGTATGCCACGACGCGCTCTTTTTCATCGTGCCGATGCTGTTTGTCGTGCGAGGCATAGCGAAGATGATGTGTGGCTTTGGTGTAGTATGGAGATGCCCATGCTCGAGCGAAAGGTGTATCTGCTGTCTCCGAAGGTTGATGAGAGTGCTGTGCTAATTCGATGATCTTGAATTCTCCTGTGTTTGCAAGTACTCCAAATGTGCCTCGCTTGGTACCAGAGTACCGAAGACTCCATATAGAAGCCGACTGTGAGTTGTCTACGACTGGCTTGAACTCTAGGACGGCACCTCCGCTCGCACTATCGTTGGATGCTACTCGTTGCTTGACGAAGCGTGTGTCCCAAACAGTCACAGTTGGATCTCCTGCCGTGCCCGCGGATAGAAAGTAATTTTCGTCCAACGGATCTATGGAGATGTTGTGCACCTGGCGTGTTTGAAACTGCGCAATGCCCGCTGTGCTAGAGTCTATAAAGAATGAGCAGGGGATGTTCACTGCTTTATGTGTGACCCACCTCTGAGATCGTAAATGCGCACGTATTGCCTCGAGACACCCGCGACGAGCATATCAGGCTGTCCAGTGAAGAACTTGATACTAGATATGGCCTCGGAGCTCGCCAACTTCTTGTACGGTTCATCCTTGGCTGTGACTCGTGAGTCGTTCATATCGTAGATGTTGAGACAGACATCATTCCTGACTCTATCCAGCCCCGTAGCAAGTAGATTCTTAGCGCTGAAAGCGATAGAGTTGCATTTCCTTTGGTGTCGGATAGAAAATGAGTGGATGTAGTCGTGATCGGGCTTGTCCGGATCCAATGTAACGATCGTAGCCTCTCCAGAAGCAGAACCGACAGCAACCACACTCGGATCCTTCTTGGACCAGTCGAAAGCCGTGTAATTTGGCAGCTTATCTCGAATGCATATCTGCTTATAGTTGACCTTGCTCTTACTAAACTCTTCAATTTGACACAGACGTAGCCTATTACCCGCAACGTCGATGATCAAGAAGCGAGGGTTGTCTCGTGTCGAGTGCGGCGACCATCTTATTGCAGCTTCCATCTCACTGGCTGACTATCGCGACTCCGCGATAATGGATGTTCAAGGTCCGAAAGCGGAGTAAGGAAGCCTCATGAATCAGTGAGAAATAGTCTGAAGGAACCCGGAGCGAGCGATGTCGTGTGCATGTTGCAATACACTCGACTTTGCTATGTCATCGTGCAAGATGGGACCTTGGAAGAGCATGGGTGAACGCCTGACGCGTGATCTCACTTGGCGCGCATCGGGCGGTCAAGCAACCTTAATTCTGCCGCCCCACTAAAACTTCCCTTCCCTCGATCTCAAGATTTCCGCAGCCAGCCAACAACTCTCATATCCCAAATCTCAGCCAGCCACCATGTCGCAAAAGCGCAAGCATGCCGAAGCGACCGAGTCGTCTTCCTCTGCCCCGAAACCGTTCAAGAAGCACCGCGCTTTCAAGCCCGGCCAGAGCCATCCCAAGTCGAAGAAGCGGCCGCACGTCTCGAGCGACATCGACAAGAGCACCAGCACCAACGCGCTCAAGAGCCGGATACGAGACTTGAAGCGACTACTTGCGCACGTCGACAATGTAGGCGATCACAAAATGTCAGCAGGCAATAGGGTGGAGAGGGAGAGGGAGCTCGAAGCCTGTCAGCACGAGCTGCAAGAGAAGCTGGAGAGCAGCAGAGAGGCCGAATACAGGAAGAAGATGATTGGGAAGTATCATCACATAAGGTTCTTCGGTATGTCATGTTTCGCGCAGGGCGCATGCGAGTCAACACGAAGCGATTGCTAACGCGCCTCAGATCGTCAAAAGGGCACAAGGATACTGAAGAAGCTGAAGAAAGAACACGAGGCCGAGGAAGACGAGGCGAAGAAGCAGGATCTAGCGCGAAAGGTTCACAACGCTCAAGTCGATGTCAACTACGCCATTTACTACCCGCTCATGAAACCCTACGCATCTCTATACCCAAAGTCGAACAAGGACAAGGCCTCCGATTCCGACGAAGCAGCTGAGGAGGATACTGATGACAAAGCGAATCGCGAGGTCGACGGGCCAAAAGGCGACCTGGATATGTGGAAAGCTGTGCAGGAGGCGATGACAGAAGGCACACTGGATGCGCTTAGGAACAGCAAGGACAGTATGCCTGCTGCTGTGCCCAAGAAGGAACCGAAAAAGAAGGCACAGCCCCAAGTGCAGCAAGCAGTCAAGGTCAAAGAGAAGAAGGTGGAAGAGAAGTTGGCAGCAGCCAAGAACCGTCGCGAGAGGAGAGCACTCGGTGTGCAGGCCCAAGAAGAGGCGGAAGAGAGCGACGGTGGTTTCTTCGAGTAGTTTCATGGCACATCACAACATTCATCTGCTGCATCATATACCCGGCGTCCAGTCGCCAATACGATTATTCTGCAGCAGAATCTGATTACTACAGATTACCTCTCCACCTCTTCACAGACCAAATTCTCTACAGCCCTCTAGTCGCATTCCCACCTCCATATACCTTAACCGGATGCGCTTCAGTATTGTAAACCCACTCATTAACCCCGTCTTTACCAACCTGCCACTCCGCCTCGCCCGCCTGAATAGCATAGCTGTACTTCAACACCTCGGCGAACCAAAAGCTCTCCTGGAAATCCGTAAACTCGCCTCCGCCAACCACATTCACATCCTTGATAGAACTGTAACCGCTGCCCACCCTTGTAGTCGCGTTGATCGCAACAAAAGCATCCCACGCCCAGTCCTGGTACTTTGAGTCCGAAGTTGCGCGGTAGGCGTAGTAGTAAGATTCTATGACTTCAGGACGGAGTTGGTACCCTGCGTTGTCGATCCAAAAACCCGTTCGGTTGAAAAAGGATGTTTGGTTCGCTGGTACGGCGGAGGTGTTC